ACAACGCCCGTCGTGAGATCTCCAGGTATTAACTCCTAGCCTACTTTCTCCCGTTGTCTCAAGACGCCAGTCCTCTTTCACTTCTCGACAATCCGATGTGTGTTCTATGTACCTCCTCGAGGTTCCTCTTTGTAGCGCCGGGTTGCTATTGACCTCTCAATGCTGGAATGGGGGTAGAGAAACATTATTTTACTGCTGGAAGGGGAGTTAAAAATATCCTCACTGTTTATAGACCCGCTCTGCTCGCTTACTTACACGGTCGCAATCTATATATAAATCATTTGAATGATATTCTACCGTTAAGTCGATTTATGTTCAAAGCTCAAAGATTGTTAAGTCGATATTCCAATATAGAAAGTCTGCATATATATATATATATATATATATATATATATATATATATATATATATATATATATATATATATATATATATATATATATATATATATATATAATATATATATATATATAAGGCGTAGCGAGGGGGGGGGGCGGGGTGCGGACCGCACAGGGTGACACCATTTAGTGACACATATATAGAGAAAAACTTGAGGGGGGGGGTGCAAATCGAAAGTTTGAGGGGGGTGCAAATCGAAAATTTGAAAGTTTGTCCCCGGGAAGGGTCGCTACGCCTCTTGGGGGGGGGGGGGGGTGACACCATTATATATATATATATATATATATATATATATATATATATATATATATATATATATATATATATATATATATATATATATATATATATATATATATATATATATATATAAGCACAGGTTAGTGATGGTGCGTGCGGTCCAAGCCTCCAAAATATATTTTTTTTGTTGAGTTCAAGTCCTCATGTTACAGTCTGATGCAAGCCGTAAACAAATGAGCTAATATAGACCTGACGTGTATGCGGTGACATACTCTGGTCCCCTTCTCTGTGGGGCTGATCACCCCTTCCCCCCCCCCCCCACCTCGTTGAACGGACGAGTAAACACGTGCATGACGTCACGGGTGCCATCGGGTGTCGGGGTCGTGTTTGTCCAGTTGATTCCATCCCATCAGTGTCTGATTGTCTTAGCCCACACTGGGAACACGTGTGTCCGGCAAATGTTGTCTTATGACTCGCAGGCGATTGGTTGCCGTCCATGTTATTGTTTGTGGGCGTGGTTTCAGCCTGCACCCTGACACGTGATCACGCAGCAAGGCTGGACCCCCGAGCCCAATTAAAACCAGACAGTTTTTAACTTTTATTTCACTGTTATTTGCAACCCACCTCATAAAGTCGGTTGGGCATAGTGCTGACAACACTATCTCTTCATATGCCGAGGTCACAGAAACAAGTGAACTCTACTTCACTTGCCCCATAGACCGTCAGGTTTGAAAGGGAAACTTTTTTTTTCATATCTATTGCATTTATCCAAAATAGAAACTGACACAATAACGCAACAGTATCAACACACACACAATTGTGGATTTACTGTTGGCGGCCCCAGTCTGTTATTTGGGAGGGGGATATTCACCATAGTTGTTAACGTATTTTGTTTCCCACTTAATGATCAACTAAGCTCTTCCCCTGAACTTTTATTTAACAGTAGCTATTAGTTCGTGCATCTCTGTATTTAACATTAGAAATGAACCGCGTGGTGTGACGTCATCTCAGACGCACGATCCCACGTGACCCCCTCAAGGGTGAGCGGACTGAAGTTTGACTCAATCGTTAACTACTCAGCCAAGCTGTTTGTGGTTCGATTCAGCGCCGCTGGATACTTTGTTCAATGGCGGAGCTAACTTGTAGCCACTTGGATAAAAGCGATTGAGTTCTTGTACTCTGTCACATTAAATCAGCTTCGGTTCCATTGTGTAAGCTCTTTGATCTCTTCCCTTACCCCAAGCAGTAAAAAATATTTGACGATTCCTGGGTTACGTCCGTTACCTTTAGCAGTGAAACTAGTTGAGGACTTTTGGGTTACGTCCCTTACCCTAAGCAGTAAAAACTATTTGACGAATTCTAGGTAATGTCCCTTACACATAGCAGTGAAAGTAGTTGGCGACTCTAGTGCTGTGTTACGCCCCTTATCTCTTCAATATAAATATTAGACGAATCCTAAATTACGTCCCTTACCCCTATCAGTGAAAGTAGTTGGCGACTTTTGGGTTACGCTCCTTATCCCTTCAATATAACTATTAGACGAAACCTAGATTACGTCCCTTACCCCTAGCAGTGAAAGTAGTTGGCGATTTTTGGGTTACGCCCCTTACCCCTAGTCGACCCCTTCCCCCACCAGTATAACCGACTTGCCCACGCATCCATTCATGGATAGTTGACAGTAGTTGACCACGGATCTACTCCGCCCCCTCCCCCCAGCCGTCTAACATACTGCCTGTAGCTGACCACGTAAATCACAGTGTCCCAGGGCAAGCCTGCTGTGTACTTAGAGATCTCCCCCAGCCCCAAAGTAAACACGTCTTGTAGAGATGCCGGGCTCTGATGCCTGCTCACCCCCTTCTATTATTAAATATGATCACTTCAAATGGGTTCGTGCCTTGGCAGACGGCCAGTCCTGGGCTCTGGACCAGCGGCTCCAGTTTTTATTTCAGCCATTTCCCCCCTGAGCCAAGTTGTAAAAATAAAGCAGGACGAGACAATTGTAGCGATTTCTTTCTTACTGTCACAGTCTACACCGATTGGTCTGGGCTTTTCCGATAGTCTCAAGGGTCTCCACTACATAGTGACCTCATCTCTTATGATGGTCATTTGATCACGTATGCTCCCCTGTGGTGGTCCCCCTTCCCCATGGTGATCCATCCATCTCTTACCCCAAGATGTTCCCCTTCCTCATGATGGTCTCCCCATTCCCCATGGTGGTTCCTGCCCCCCCCCCCCCCCCCCCACCTCCAACCCCAACCCTACCCCTTCCACATGGTAGTTTACCATTTGACATCTCCAGTAAAGGTCATCTGGTCTGGTGGTCACTTAACCAATGTCTAATATGACCACTTTTTCAAGTGTTATAATAAAAAAAACCATTTGATTTGCTTACAAATGTTTATAGGTACTTTAAATTGGTATAAATGAAAGAAGCTGGATTGATCCACTTTAATTCACAGCATCATTACAATTTCAATGATGGGCAGCCCACACATATTCCTAACACCAACACAGAACAAGATTGTTTCTCTGCCCATATCCCCTGTATCAGGTGAGGCTGTGTGTTCTCTACAGCCTCCCATGTACTGTCTCTACTATACTCTAGCAAGTGACTGTCATTACTGTATAATTATTTATATGCTAAAGTAAGATAAACAAGCCTAGATTCAGTCTATTATTAAATGAGTGAATGTTTAAGTCTATTGTGTTGGTGAAGTGTTTTAAAACATTGTGTGATTTCAATGCTAGATAGAACTTGTGAGTAAAAAATAAACAGACATGGACTAAGCTTATTGAATGTGTGACTTCATAATATGGTGATACTTAATTGCTGGTGGTCAAACACAATTTTAAAACATCGTTAATGAGTATGGGTTAATAGACGAGTGAAAAACATGGCGCCTTCACAATCATCAGCGCTAATGGATCCCAAGTCTTATGATGACACAGTGCCAATCGTATGTATCCATTGTGTATTCTTGCAAGCACTCTTTGATGTTTGAGTTGATACCATAATAGTTTAAATCACCTATTGTCTCTGCCATAACAAAACCTAATAGTTTCTACCTGTTCAAACAGAGGTAGTTTTAACACACCTTGCTACATCCAATTAATAACCTAATATCTTCATCCGCTGAAATAGTTTCATTTTTTACCACTTTTAAACCAACCTATTTTTTTCAGTGTGAGCCTAAGTATATGAATTTACATCTATGGCTAGGAATAACATTTATACAACTAGTTGTGATGAGAAAAATAAATAAAGTTATAAAGTAAAAATTCTATTAATGAAGCTACAACTCATAGAAATTCAAGTGTTTGTTTTTAACAGATGAAATAATTAAATCTATTATGTGATATAATTTTTTACTTCATTTTGTCAAATCACATTTAATCACTGTAACTGCACATTACAATACATACATTAACATTCGTGTCCACTAATTTAAAATGAAATTAAAAAACCTCGAGATATTTTCATTACATTTTTTAACTTTTTAAAACATTTTTTTAGTTTAAAATTGGTTTTTTAATTGAACAATTCTATCATGTGACAGCTCTCTTCAGTTTGATAGTGAAATCTTCTGACTACTCTAAATATTCGGACTAATAAATAAATCTCCTATTAATAATTTATTTTGAGAATGTCCTATATAAGAAATTAAATAATCCAGAATTGTACATTTTTAAATTAATTTTTACAATTCCTGATTTATTTTGCAAATTATGTTTTCTAATATCTTAATTTCTCAGTGTATTAACTGAATATCGTGATAATGATATAAAGTCCTCTGAGTATATGCTCAATATCCTGATTATGATATTGATTTCTCAGAGTATTAGCTCAATATCCTGATTATGATATTAATTTCTCTGAGTATTAGTTCAATATCCTGATTATGATATTAATTTCTCTGAGTATTAGCTCAATATCCTGATTATGATATTAATTTCTCTGAGTATTAGCTCAATATCCGTATTATGATATCATTTCCTCTGAGTATTAGCTCAATATCCTGATAATGATATTAATTTCTCTGAGTATTAGCTCAATATCCTGATAATGATATTAATTCCTCTGAGTATTAGCTCAATATCCTGATAATGATATTAATTCCTCTGAGTATTAGCTCAATATCCTGATTATGATATTAATTCCTCTGAGTATTAGCTCAATATCCTGATTATAATACTGATTCCTCTGAGTATTAGCTCAATATCCTGACTATTAATTCCCCTGAGTATTAGCTCAATATCCTGACTATTAATTCCCCTGAGCATTAGCTCAATATCCTGATTATGATATTAATTCCCCTGAGTATTAGCTCAATATCCTGATTATGAAATTTAATCTTCCCCAGGCTGTGCAGGCCCAAGAGAGCAAGAGAAGGAAGCGGCGGATTATGAAAATAGCCGTCTACTTCATGTTTGGGATCATTGCTCTTGGTGTCTTTTCTATCTGGCTTTTCCACAAAGACACAGTGGATTCCCTGAGGTTTGGCTCAGATTTTATCATCACCGTCAAGCTGCGGTCCATGGAGGTGAAGAACCTCAATGGGGACATTGTCCTGTACGGGGAGATGGGCCAGTACCTGGACGCCACGCCTTACGACAACTGCTTTGAAAACCACACAGAGAAAGAGGTGGACAACTGTGTTCACTGGAGGAACGTGGCCTCGCTGAGTGTGACCAAGCAGGAGAACAGCTCCCTGTCATGTTACACCATACAGTGGGACAGCTACGCCCCTGGGATCAAAGCTGAAGACTGTTTCTACCTGCAGCGCTACAACTGGTACGGTTACCTGACCAACACCTCAGCCCTGTGGCCTATCAGTGACGTGTATATCAAAGATGTGAATTACTATACAGAATACCCAGAGGAACAACCTGAAAACCTGGTGCCTATCTGGTTTGGTCAACAAGGGATATCTATTTTTATCGATTCTGGATTCCCGTTTAGTTTGTCATGGAATGTTACAGATGAAAGGCAGTTCTGTATTGCTTCAAAACTTGAGGCTAAAGTTGCAGGGGAACCTGTGCCTCAGCTGCGCTACTCTATATGTCAAAGTGAGACTCTGAAGGAAGTTGTCAAAACAACACAGCAGCACAGGCAGGAGGTGGACACAGACTTCCCCTTCAAGCAGAAACACAAACACCTCCTGCTGAACAAGCCTATCCATTCGCTGACTGCTAGAGAAAACATGAAGGAGCTCCTTGAGCAGATACAAAAGAAGCAGCTCCAGTGCAGCCTGATGGAGCTGTTTGACAACTGGGAGGAAGAGTTTGGTAACTTCACATTTGATGCCAGGATTGTTGATGAAGTAATGAACCTTTTCAGTGCAGCAGCCAGCATTCAATGCTATCCAATCCTTCCTGTCTCCACATTTTTCAGCTACAAGTCTCAGTATTTCACTGAAGGGGTTTCTAAAGGATACTTTGTCCGAGATAGACAGAACCTGGTCACGCGTATGATCCGGTGGAGAGGACAGGAAGGGGCGGCCCTGGACGTGACCAACCCACAAGCAGAGCAGTGGTACTTGCAACATCTCCAGCGTATTGTTGAGCAGTATAAAATAAAAGCACTGAAACTGTTACACCTGAGTGTCCCATCTGACTCCAAGTATTACGACGATACCATGACACATCTCGACTACACCAGGATATTCTATCGAGATCTAGCCAACAGGTTCAACGTCTCCTTGGTTTTAGAGCTGGCCACTGGTTTCATCCCTCTCCCTGTCTACACCCCAGTCAGAATGAAGTTCTACGGTGAGCCTGGCTCCTCATGCCTCAACACCTCCATCCCTTTTTCTCTAATGCTGGGACTCAGCGGCTTCCATCTTCTGATTGCAGATGCTGACAGAATGGCAGATCCCTCCACTACAGAGGAAATGTTCATTCGATGGCTTCAGGTGGCCATTTTCTTCCCAGTTCTAGAAATACCAAGTATACCTGTACTCAGGAAGGAGAGCATGCAAAATGCGCTGAATGAAACATTGCAGTTCCGAAACACAGAACTGTTGCCGTACATGAGTACATTGTGGGAGAAGCAACCAGACCTGCCCATCATTAGACCAATGTGGTGGATGGCGCAGGACGACCCAGTGGCCCAGACCATCAGTGACCAGTTTATGGTGGGAGACGACCTGCTGGTGGCCCCGTTCTTGTGTGAGCGCACCACACAAAGGGACGTTTACTTCCCAGCTGGGTCGTGGGCAAGAAACGACACCAACGGCACACAGGTCATTATAGGTCCAGCTACCCGCACTGTGAAGACTGATAACGTGAGTGCTATCCCCTACTTCTGGAAAAAAGTTAGCGAACACAATGAAGCCAAATAAACATTAGCGCAGACCCTACATTTGGAAAAACAGAGTGAAACCAAATAAGAATAATAACAGTTTGTCTCGTTAAGAAAAATAGAAATATTAATACTGTATGAATGATGTAGTGTAACAAATCTTGTTTGCATTGTATTTGCATATATGTCTTATCCACAAAATGTGCCAGTAGACACTAAACTTAACACAGCATGTGTTAGAAGAGATTCTGAAGTGTCCATAAAGAAATCCATTTGCAGCTAGTCTTACTAAAAGTGCTAAGGACTTTTTTTTACACTATTGAAAGCAATTAGAAACAAATCACAAAAATATGGTAGCTGATATTATCAGGTGTACACTATGTTGCTTGTTGCTTAAAACAGAAAATGCTCACATTTTACAATTTGAGAAAATGATTTTTAAATATTTAGAGATATTCGATCAATATACAACTTTATTTGATTAATTATACACTTTAATCAGTTCTTTTATAAGTGTCATATAAAGATATTTACAAACAGCTAGGGTGGAAATGGAAATAAAAGAAATTGAATTTTTAAAAGAAAGCTACGATGTATGGCTTAGCTAGGGTATGTATTGTGTAAAGTTATTTGTTCGATTCAGATGACTATATATAGTTTGTATGTATCTATAAAACAATTAGCATTTTGTTGGTTATAGATCAGATTATAACTTGCCTGTTATAGTTTTGGTGTCAACATGTCTGTTATTTATACTTGATGCAATACAATGATCATTTTTTTCTTGATCTATTTCTCTTCCTTACTCAAACCACATAGACATTGAATTTATTGTTCAGATCCAATAACACTCTCTACTGTATTTGTTTTTGTCCTTTTTAAACCATGCATTTATTTACATTTATTAGATATTATTTACATTTCTATTAGTTTTATCTTCTAAGTAGTTGAAAATGTGCACTTATATATTGACTATGTGAATTACCTATTAATTTTTGAACGTCTTTTTATTCTATCGATATCCATAGTTCTACAGTAATGTATGTAGTTATCTCATTAAAATGTTGCTTTAACACTATTTTAACTCATATATTGTTTTAGCAATGAATCAAAATGTATATAATTTCAAAATGTATGCCATTAACATTTTTTAACATAAGTCCGTTATGATTTTACATTTTTTATCCCCCCCCCCCCCCCAATCAACACTTTTTATGATTATAAGTGTTGTTTATCTATAGAAATGCCCTATGGTCTCTAGCTAGCATCATGTAGAATCCTTGTGTTCTGTTATATTTAGGGCTTTATATATTGTTCTAGGGATTTGAAACATTGAATACGTTTACAGTAAAGATGGGTTTGTGGTTCTGATGTTACTCTGCAATATTTCTTACAATATCTACTTAACTGTTTTAATTACAAAGCAATTTGATTAGACTTTTAAAATTGGCTGATTAAAGATATCAAACTTTTTGAATTTTCAGGGAATTAGATGCCAAATTGACATAAATTCATTAGAAGCATAATTAACTTTTGCATAATAAATGTTTATAAAATTATGGTTGATAGTTTTAAATGTAATGTTTTTTCACAGTTGGTCCAGCACGATTGTAATACAAATGAAAATAGCTGTAGTTATGATAAGACATTATCTGCTTATGTTATTTAATTTATATGAAAAGACAAATTGTCACCCACTGCTAATGGATTAAATGTTTTAGATGCTGCTATTTCCTTGTTACCCATCATCTGTCCTGTGTAGAATGGCTAGAAACATTCCTGAATAAACTCTTTAGTGTGTATGATTTGACTAAATCATGTTTTATCCACACTATTTATATAAAATATCTGTATTGCTGGATTTTGTTTATTCTGGGGACAGATTTAATGGTTATCTTGTTGTAATCCTCTTTTTTTCTTATTTCTGTAGCTATAATTTTTAACAATGCTTTAATATGGAATTAAAGTAATTTTGTGTAGAAATGTTTGTAATTATTCTTTCATATTTTAATATATCTCTGTCATCTAATTGCTACCATATCAATTATAGCATTGATATTTCATGCATTCCATTCCATTATTTGTATAAAAAAACCTCATTGTTCATGTGCATATTTTTAATGGGTTGGGTTGTTTTTTTTTAAATTTTACATTTTTAAAAAATAAATACCACAACTCATACTTAGCATAGCAGAAAACCATTGATTGTCATGTATATTTTATGTTTTAATTTATACATTTGTTTAGCCAACTGGTAATGATGCTGATTGCTTATGGTGTTTTTAAGGAGAAGCATTAAATATATTGTAGCTAATCTTTTTATTGAATGGTTCACTTGATATCATAACAATTTATCTATTAATATCTAGCTTGGCTATTTTTCATGAAATTAGTTATCCACCCAATATGAACCTATGGCTTTATCTCAGGATGCAAATAAAAGTTGTCCCTTCACTTCCTTAGCAAAACTGCCAGATTTGATTGAATTCACATATTTTAAATATCTCCTTGAACTTGAGTGCAAGAAATTTATGGCACAAGTTTAAAAAAAAAAAAGATGTAATAATAAAAATAATATACAATTGTCTGTAGATGTTAAATGTGTAAATAATTTTTTTCATCATTACATTGTAATGATGAAAAAATTATTTACACATTTTTAATAGATGTAATAAAGATAGAAAACAAGTACTTAAAATTATGTGCAGTACACTCAAGTGTATAAAAATGTTAAAGATAATTTAGTATTTTATACAAATAAGACAATTTTATAATCTTTACTACAACCATCTGTATAGTACTTAGGCATACATGTGTCTTTATTATTTCAAATATGTATGAAACTGCCCTATACCTTTTTTTGACAAAATTCCAGTAGTGGTGTTCAATTTTAAATTTTACTCTTCATGCTGTAAATCCAGCAACTCATGAGTGCAATACATGCATTACTCAGTTTGTAAAAAAAAAGTATACACCTTAGAATCTCTTTATTTACAATTAGAAGTGTTCCTTTTGATTGCATATCTTGCATCTTGTTTTCAATAAAAATCCTGAGCTTTAGCTCATACCTTATATCTATATCTTTGGTGATATTCCTGTTCTTGGATTCCTTGAGCCAGATTTTGTGGGCTCAACTCTGGGATTGTGTTACCAAACTTTTTGATCTCTGGCCAGATGAACTCTTGACTTGCAATCAAGTGGAAACTCAGAATACAATTTCTTCTTAGGTGAGAATTTAGACACTCACCATTACAGCAAATATAAGAAAATGTTTTGATAATACTTATTGGCATAAAGATTTTCTAAATATGTTGTCTCCCGTACAGGATATGACTGAATGTTTTGGTTGATAAGACATTACTACATATGATCACAGTGTTTGTTTAATTTTTACATGAGAAGTAGATGTTTTGATTTTTAAATTTCTAAAATAAACTGGCAGATTAAGATCAAATTGTGTTTGCTTTTATTTTTTATTATTTTAACTTAAAACTTAGGTGTAAAATAAAACAATTTTCCACAACACAAAGGCAAAGTGGACTTGTTTGCAGAATAAGTGTACACTCCACTGTCCTATTGAAAATTTGTCATCACCATTTACAAGTTATGTGGCTTGAATGTAAAGTGCTCACTTATATCATGCCTAAGATTGTAAAGATAAAACTTAAAATGCCTGTTGGATTATTCTAATAATGAAAGCAATAAAAGGAGACTGGTGTCCTACTTTTAAAAACTTAGCTTATCTAACAAAAACTTACATGTATTATTAATTTGAAGTGACTCCAATGAATAACAATGGACATAAGCCACAGGATAAATATGTATTTTCTATTCAATTTTTTAAACAGTTATGGATTTTTAAAAATCTGTTTTCATTTGAAAAAAAATGATTTTTAAAAAGCCATTTAAATGCGGAAACATTATTAAAATAAGCAGAACAAAAGAACATTTGAATTATTTATACTACAATAATAGCCTTAAAGTATGACTATTATAGTTTGTATGCTTCTAGCTTAATTCATGTGACCATGTTCCTAGTGTAGATAGTAGGGTTGTACTGTGGATAATGTAACAGGTTAACTAATTTTAAAGACAAGGAGGCACTACTCTCCCCTTCCCAGACTAGTTTATGTGATTTCCACATGTAATATTTTTGTATAATCCAGGGGTATGCAAATAATAGTGTTATTAGCATCAGAACTCACTGCTGCTTCTTGAGAATCACAAATACATTTTTAAAGATGCTGATACCTTAGTCTGATGTTAAAGTATATAGTGCTTGAGTGGGTAAAAATTTTCAAAAACAATTCTGCAAATAAAAAACAAATACCACCATCTCTCAAAATACATTTAATCTCATAAATGCATCAAAGGGAAAATAAAAGTGAGAATAAAAGCAAAACTAATTTTATCACTTGCAGTAATAATATACACAACACTTTGGGAGAGGGGTATGGAGAAATTAATAAATAAAGTTTTTATCTACAAAATATGCATGGCTTACTTTATTCATTAAAGTAGAATTTTGTTATTATTTTAGTAGGTTTTACTACAAAAATTCAAACCATTCCAGAGGGCAACTGTAGGATTACTTTTAAAATTAAAAAATAAGGACCTTACATTGCCAATTCTGAAAATTTACTTGATACACTAAACTGGAAATGTAACTATGAGGCTATAAATTTGATTTACTGGGAATTTTTTTAAATTTTGATATGTTTTTAACAAGTGTAAGTGTTCTACGTTTTTCATGTTTTAAAAAGCTCACCCAGTGGACTCCTGTTCAACTCTGATTAGTATTACAGCAACAAGGTATTTCACAACTTTTTCAAACTATCAAGCACACTTTTAAATCACATATGATTTGGTGGTAAGAGAAAACATAACTATGAAACAAAATTAACATTTACATAATTTTTTAAAAATATGTCACAGAATAAAAGCAAGCTGGTGATGTTTCTAATAATTTTAAAAACAAGTTGTCTGGTTAGTCATAATACACATAATAAATCTGAAGGCAAACAATTTTTATCTCCCTGCATGCAGTATTTAATTGTGTGTAGATCTCATAGAAAAAAAAAGATAATGCTATTATTTGAAATTAATCAGAACTCTACCTCTAAAAATTCAGGCATAGTATAAAAACTTTTTCATCTGTATTGGATATTTAAATAAATCAACTAAAAGATAATAAGCATAACAGTAATGACATAAACTCATATAAATATATTGGATGTAACTGATAAAATGTGAAAATGAACAATGAAAATTAACTGAATTCAGTAATTTATAAAAAAAATAAATAAATTACGCTTAGTTGACTGGTTTGACAATTATATATAATGATCTGTGACTTTTTTTTAGAACATAAGCAGAGTTATTTAGAACAAAATTAATAAATTTAATCTTTTAGAAAAAACCCCAATAAACTGAGAAAGTTTTAAAATAATATTATGTCATCTCTCTCTAGTGTTATATTATTACATGCATTAAAATAAATGAAAGATTTACAGTAATATCATATCTCTTGAAGTGAAGAGCTACAATGCCAATAAAGTGTAATGATAAAGCAAATGTAACACATGATTTCCACTACCTAACCACAAACAAAGCTGATATTTTTAAGTCCATAACCAGTTTCAATGATGCTACTCTACTAGCCAGACTGCAATAGGATATAAAAAATGAAGTTTTCTCATACGTATGTCATCTGATGCCCAGACCAGATAGTCAGATAGTTTCCACAAGGTTTTTCTTTCCTCAACTGGTACATAGCACATTCATATTTGACGTTAAATATTTCAATTTTTTCTTGAAATTTAAAGTGACACTGTCGAACTTCTAGTAGTTAGAAAAAGATTTATTTACTTTTCAAGACTAACAGGACATTATGCTGAACCAGGGGCGTAGCGAGGGGGGGGGGGGGGGGGGGGGTGGTGCGGACCGCACCGGGTGACACCATTTAGGGGGGTGACACCAAGGCAAAAAATAGCTAAATATATAGAGAAAAACTCGAGGGGGGGGGGGGGGGTGCAAATCGAAAGTTAAGGGGGGGGGGGGTGCAAATCGAAAATTTGAAAGTTTGTCCCAGGGAAGGGTCTCTATGCCTCTGGGGGGTGACACCATTAAGTGCCGCACCGGGTGACACCCGACCTCGCTACGCCACTGTGCTGAACCAAAAACAAACGGGACACATCAAAATGTAAATAATGCAACAAAGTATTTGCTATCTAAAATGTACTAAAGCACGCTGTAAACTGACCTCTTGCATGTATGGACTTAATGCAAACAGAAACATTTTTGTCACACTTTTTATGCTGGGTGAATGTACATGTATCCTTATTTATCATGATGAAACACATTTGTCCTAAACATCTTTAAGGCAGATTGTCACTATCAACTTCCAAATTTAAAAAAAAAGCAACAACTAATAACTTCCTGTTAACACGAAATCAGTCTTTAAAATTCAGTTCTAAAAAAAAATAATTTACGAAAAAAACCTATGAAGGAAAAAAAATTGTAGAGGAAGTAAAATTTAAATTTTATGAAAGTAATATCATCATCAGCAAACAGATATAGTTATGTATAACCAAGTAAAAATAAAATCCTACAAAAATGAATTAATGGAAACTGTTAATGCATCAGTTTTCTAATAGTAATATGACTGTTGGTGCTAACAGAAAAGGAGACAATTTTTCCTTTAAAAAGTGCACTATTTATAACAAATGAAAAAGCATAAAAAAGTAATCATTTATGACAAAGTTATCATTTTTTTTCTATAAAAAAAAGTTTAAATAATATGGTTTTTAAGCAGCTCTACAAGGTAAATGGAAACTTTGTATGATACAAATATCACATTTTCTAAAGGTTACAAATACTGCATTCGACCTCATAAAGATCACTTAAATTAACAAGTTTTAATTAGTTTAAAAACAGCTGTAATTTATTATTTATCACACTGTTAAAAAAAAGTTAATTTCCACTATAGACCAGACTGTTCATATGGGAGGTGTGGTTGAGTTATGCGTTTTTGACCTCAGAATAATAAGGGATTTTGAGGTCATCATGGTGTCATGTCCCATTTACTTTCCCTGACTTACATCAGTCACCCATCACAGTGGGGTGGGCTCAGGCACATCATAGGGGCTTGAACCCACAAATATAAGACTTTTGGGTTCACCATTCAACCTCATTGTGCCAGAGCATACAATATTTTCTATGCACGGTTAAAAAAATATCACTGCAGGGTTATATGAAATATTTTTAGTTCACCTGTGTGGGTTGAAAGGGTATCACCCAAAACACTCAGGAATATATTCATAACAATTACTAAAAGAAACAACAGAACTAATCTACTAAATATAGGTACAAAGCTTTTTGATTTCCCACTGTTTGATTTCTACATTTGTGTTCAATCTCAGTTATTTGACTTAATTAGATGGAAAAATCTTGTCAAAGGAACAGCAATATGCAAGTTAATATCATGACTTAAAACTTGGCAACATATACGTCTACTTATTTCAAATTAAAGCAAGGCTGCACAAGTTCCACTTACCCTTGGAGGAATGGAGTATATCAATCTTTTGCACAGGCAAATTGGCTTTTAATATTACTTAATGTTAATGCCTACGTTTGATAAAAGAACTAAATAATATTAAGACTACTAAATCTGATCGCGAAAAAGCCAGACATAAACATTAGTCTTAAGTTGGCGACTTCTATTACATTAATCTAACCTAGCCTAATACAAATCTAAACACATTTTCACTATCTTTTAAAATACAAAGTTTTAACAAAACAAAGATTAATTTGACTTTTATACCACAGTTGCAGGAAACAATTTGTTAGTTTTAAATATGAGGTCGAATTAAGTAGGGTAATTAGTGTACACAATTAAATATCACTTTTCATGCTCTCTCGGCCATGAGCTTTCATCCATTTTAGCCTTGATGATGTCAAATTTGCATTGGTGTAATTCAACTGTCTTTTCTAATTCTAAGCCAACTATACCCTTGTATGGGATTCTATTTTTGGCAATTTCTCTACTGGCTAGACACTGGAGAGTAGTGTATTTGAGAGGTGGGACAATGCTATGTAAGGGTACATTGTGTAACAAATCAGCCACTGTCTCCCCTTTGTTATTGCATGCATCTATATGACTACCACTTTCTATCAATACCCTGAGAACCTGCCGATCAGATGGAACATCTTTAGCAGCAACATGAAGAGGAGAGTTACCATCTTGATCAACTGCGTTTGGGTCAGCTCCAACCTCGATCAACAGGTTAACCACATCCAAACTAGGAAACTTGCAAATTGGATACCTGCCCACGTCTGTCGTTTCTCTGGAACAAGCAAGGTGAAGTAGGGTACTCTTTTTTAGTCCAAGAGGTGCCATTCTCACGAGCCGATAGACAATTTTTCTAAAGCTGAGTTTGTCATCCACAGACAACATAAGTTCTAGCTTGGTCATAAGACACAGTAAATGTAAAACTATCACCATTAGTCTTTTCAGGTTGGACAGACTACGGTTCTCTGCCTCCCCAGCAGTTGTTTTCTGTGTTTTGCTGAATGCGATGGCTCTCTGGACCTCTTCCACTGCCCTCTGCAGGACTGCCATGAGATTCTCAAACTTTAAACAAGAAAATAAATCTCTCTCACGCCACTCGGAAGTCATGAAAGAAAACAATTCTGCGAAAGACAAAAAGCTAGACTGCGTCATAGGACTAACAGGCTCGAGGGCATTCTGCTGCATCTCAAGGGCGTACATCCATAATGAGATACACCTATCGAAATTTCCCATATCAGCGTACAGTGCTCCACGATAGCGAATATAATACGAAGTGTCAGGATGTTTGGGTCCAAGAATTCTTTCCCTGACCAGCAAAGCTTGCATTCTCATCTCATCCGGGTCTGATACCAGTTCATCCAGCATCATGCTCGAATTAGCTTCTACAGCATACTCGTATGCTTCAACTGGTTTTATATTTGCTGGTTTTGGATAAATTTTAGTCCCGTCTTCAAATCGAAGTTTCATAGCTCTTTGCCACACTTCTAGAGCAGCTATGTTGTCACGTTTTCTGTCAATGTATGTTGCCCCGAGAAGTTCTAATGCTTCAATCTTCTCAATGCGTGAACACTCTGGCCTGCAGATGAGGTACTCAACGATCTGGTGATATCCTGCCACAGCTGCAGCCATCAAAGGGGTCATGTTGTAATGATCCTTCACCATCACAGCCCCATGTTTCAAGAGAAGCTTCATTATTTCTAAGCTACCAGACTCTGCACAGTCATGAAGAGCTGTATTACCTGAGTGAGATTTGAAATAAATTGGTTAGTAAATTTGTAGAAATCAAAGTACAATTGTGTTTATAAAAGAACTTTAAGAAAAAGTCAATGAAACAAATGTTATAATTTAGATATTTTAGCTCTGTTTATAATGCATGCTATCAATACAATGCAGATTTTGAATAAGGATATAAAATATTACCATATAAGTCATTTTTAATATCTAATTGATTATACCTTAATGCAATACAAATTAGACGGTGTTAAAAAACCAGATGGAAAAACAACTCATTACACTAGATTCTGTAAATTTAAAATAATACTTAATACAAACCTAACTTTAGTTGCTTCTTTGCTCTGGTTTGAATTAGAAGATAAATATTTTTAAAATTTTGTTTAGCTGAGTCTTTTTTAATAGACTTGGGCAAATATTTCTTTTAGGATTTACTGTCTGTCAAATAACAATGTTCTTCAATATTTATGGGGACCATAAATTGCTATTTTAGGGACAGAAAAAAATTCATAAAATAAAACTCAGGCCAAAATTGTTAATATGTAGCCAACCAATGTAATTTAGGTACTGTAATTCTACTTTTCATTGAATGGTTTCTTTTGTTTATTAGGTTTCATGGGCCCCTTTATTTTATTGGTAATAATCAATTAATTAAAATCTGTCAATGTGAAATGTGTGTCCCTAATTTTTTAGCCTAAATTAATAATTAGGGCCTATTAGGCCTAGCCTAAATAATAAGTAGGCCTTACAAAGAATAGGCCCTAACAATTTTTACTTCACTCTTTTTACACAAATATTGGACCCTATATGATAAAAAAATGAAGACAACAGGCTTTATTTGGTACAAAGAAAAGCACAAATTTATTGTTTTAATTAATTTGCACTTCCAGCCTAGCAGACAAGGGATGTGTTACTGTCGTAAAAGTAAAAGCTACCTAGGGGTCTACATTTAACTTAAATGGATTGCCTAAGCTCTGCACCTGTTGTTCCTAATATTTATAATGCTTTACTAACCTTTAATACTTTTCCTATTCACTTGAGCCTTTAATTTCAGGAGGTATTCAACGATCTGTATGTGCTTTTTGTAGCAGGATATCATTAAACATGTGTGGCCATGTCTGTTGGCTATTTCGATGTCAGCTTTTTGTTCAACAAGGTATTTAACTATGAGAAAATGCCCATCAAAGCAAGCAGCTCTGAGAGGAGTTGAGTTAGTGAAAGTTGTTTTATTAACATTAGCCCCATGTTCAACTAGATATTTCACAACATGTAAATGCCCAGCTGCAGCTGCGCACCAAAGAGGTGGGGCACCTTCTATGGTTTCACCATCAAATGTCACAGAACCGACTTGTTCGATTTCAGCTTTACATTGTTCAACAAGGTATTTAACAACATCTACATGTCCGTTTCGTCCTGCCATGATAAGAGGAGTAGCACCATTTGTTTTAGCGTGAATAAGCATTGATACTTCATCTCTTGAACGTTGGTCTAAAAAGACACGTAGACGGCCTAATTTTCCGTCTTTTGCTGCGTTATAAACGATTGTCCGATATTCCATGAATGCTTCGCAATCAGGAATTCACTCTATTTTAATAACTTTAATTCATCATAGAAAGGGAACTTAATACATAGTATTTTTTCAGGCCATTGACAAGGAAAAATAATGACATCAACCTTTTGTGATGGCTGACAACTGAGGGGGCGCTTGACAACTAAGGGAAGCTACTCTCAGTATGAAATAAATATGGCTTTTATTTGAAAAAGATCGAAGGGTGATTCTTTATAACCTTCAATCTTTAAACTAAAGAGTTCCCCTTTCTCTGCTTCATTCATATTATTGGTGATTTGACCTACATCGTCTACACTGTTATTATTATTAGACCATGTTCGTTTGTTGTGTCTTTAAAAATAGAATGGCATGACTGTCAGTCACGTCTGAATTCTTCATTAAACTTCGACTCTAAAAAAGTTAATTATTCAGTAAAAGTAGCCTAAATAGTAGGCTGGGTTTCTTTCACATATTTTTCTGAGTGGGTGCTTGAAACTTCTGGGGGGAGGGAGCGGACTGGAGTATTTACTAATAGATCTATATATAGGGCATATTTCTATATAAATTATAGCCTACATTTTTAAAAATTTCGTCCCACTTGAGATGGGGGTGGCAGGGAACTGCGAGGATAATGATGTGCTAACAGGTGTGTGTGTGTGTGGGAGGTGAAAGGACGTGCTCCAAGGAAGGGAGCCAATAAAATTCAAAACTATTTGAAAATGTAGCTTTAGGTGTTGCAGAAATTGTTGAAAATATTGTAACTCAAATAGCGAAAAATGTAAGCTATAGATGAGCCCAGTAGCGTAGCGAGGGGGGGGGGACATATGTCCCCGGGCACCGAGCTTAGGGGGCGCAAAAATAGGTTGGAAAAATAAATTGAAAGGTTGAGGGGGGGTGCAAATTGAAAGTTTGAGGGGGGGGGGGGTGCAAATCGAAAAGTTTGTCCCCGGGTGCCGGGAAGGGTCGCTATGCCTCTGGATGAGCCAGTGGACAGCTGTTCCGCTACGCAACTTCGTGTGTTTATTAGAGGTGTGGATGAAGACATGAACGTAACACAAGAGCTGTGGGGAGAGATGTTCTTCGAGGGAGGAGGGAGAGGGTGGGGGGGGCTCCGACACCCCAATGAGATGCATGGAAGAAACTGACCCCCGAACTAATATTTGATAGTTAATGCGGCCCTCGGGATGAAAAGTTTGGAGACCTCTGGTCTAGATCGAAACGCCCCAGCGAAACTGCAGGTACTTCTTACTGACATATACGGTTCGTAGTTGGTACGTGGTTCAAGACATAAAGACAATGCAACATGACATTAAATTTAACTTAATTGGTTGCCTAATTAATTTTTTTATGAATTAATTAAAATTTTGTCCAAATTAGTAGGCTGTCTCATCAAACCATTCCTTGCTATTAGACACGCGTCATCACGTTCAATAGGGCGTCATCACGTTCAACAGGTGTGCAATGGTTTTTAGTCATGTAACTCTATTGTAAATAAAACATGTAAAGTACTAATTTTTTTAATAAAAATGTTTTAATAGCAAGCTTTTATGTACTAAAAAAGAGAAAATAAATAATAGACTACCATTTAAATAACTATAAAGAAAAGCGTGGGTCTCTTCCTAAATATTAGTAAAGGTATTCAATGGATACTAAAATGACCCACGCTTTTCTTTATAGTTATTTAAATAGTAGTCTATAATTTATTCTCTCCTTTTAAGTGCATTATTACATAAAAGTTTGCTATTAAAACGTTTTTTATGATTTTTTTTTATGATCGGGTAATATTTGTTGTAATGCTTCAATTTTGAAAATAGCATTAAAAGTTAAAATACAAAAAAAGCATCTAGTGTAATTCTATCTACAGATTTAATATTTAAAAATAGGCTACATGTCTTCTAATACAAAAGCCAGCAATTTGTGTGTGTGCGTTAATGATGCAAAAAGAATGTTGGTGATAGGTGATCTTTTAAACACGATTAACCAATTAACGTATTGAATAATCGATACAAGTTGCGGGAGATTGATAAACCTACACTTACAGGCTTTTACTTAGGCCAATGGGCGGTCGATTATTTTAACTATTAAATCAAATTCATTAGGCTACTAGGTTTTTTTTGGTTATTAATTAGAAAGAAGCAATTTATATTCACTTTTTTAAAATAAAAAATGTAAATAAAACAAAAGTCTTTTAAAAAAACAACCAAAAAAAAAAACACCAAGGGGAGGAAATTATGTTTTATTTTTGTTTCAGCAGTCTGTTGCAAGTAATTTACAGCCGTCATCCCCCTTACTGAAATCCTGTGTCTTTACAATGTCTTAATTTTAATGACAAAAGATAAAAAAAATTCTGAAATAATAAAATTCTTGGGTAGAACAGGATCAAACATTTCTCAACATTCCTCTATTCTGTAACTAATAATCGAAAAAAAAAAACATCTGCGTTTTACTATCTTTTGTTCGATCCGGCTTATATTAAACGAGCCGACCCGCGGCGTATCATACGCCGCTATTTAGTTGTTTTATTTTCTACTTTTCAGTAACTCATAATTTGTGAATTCGACAGTACCAACGCTGCCATTGAAAATTTTTGCTTTAAAACACTAACCCCCCAACCCCTACCCTACACCCCCCCCTCCCCCCCGTCCTCCTCTTTGTTACCTCCTGTAAGTTTAAAATCGTTTCAAACTAAATTATCTGCCCCTAATAGCCGTCACTAAACCCGGCACTACGATTTGTAAACATTTTGCATGAACTACAGCTCACCAGACCATGTGGGGGTGGGGTGGGGGTGGTAGTGATAGTGATAGAGAGGAAGAGAGGGGACTGCAAGCTTGTTTTCTAACGTCTCCCACAAGATAATTATATATAGAGTCTATAGATGTTTATTAGGATTGTTTCTACAGTAAATACCCCATTTCCAAATTGGCGGTCAATATGGTTGGTGAAGTAGAGTTCGCCTGTTTTCGTTAGCTCGTCATTGAGAATGATAATATGGTCAGTTCTATCATAGTGCTGATCAAAGTTGGGTAGATGCATGGAAGTCCTGAATTACGGGTTAGCAGTCTAGCTCTCTATCGCTAACCTACACGATTACAAAGCACTAATTTTAAAGCCTTATTAATAAGTTTTTAGCGCAATTTCCATACTGGACAATTGCGATTATTAACTCGTCATGTCTGGATTCTGGATGTGTGTCCGGAGCTTTAAGTCGTATCTCCTCAACGAAGCAATATCGAGGACTAGTTCCAAAGCAGATATGTTAAGCAAGTTCCGAGGATGATTGTGGGCCAAAAAAAATTCCCGGAATTCCTTCCTGGTTTTCCCGGAAAAGCCAAAAAACCTCGAAAAAATGCAGTTTTTGGCCCATATCTCGGCAATCAGACCACTTAGCGACTTGAAACATTTACCAATAGATTCCTGCCATAATTTAGAACAATATTGCCGAAAAAAGTTTTCAAAAATATCCTTTCGTTTGGTCACAAAAAATTAATTTCTTCTAATTTGTATTGGCTAAGATTACTAAGAATATACAAATATTTCTACCACCCTCAGCTCTTCGCGTCTCACCACTAGAAGAAGCGAAGCGGTGAAGTTCCAAACCAAGCACACCGGCTGAGGCAGTCGCTAGTGAGAGGTAACGTCTACTTGCCGCTTGTCTGAGCTTCGTGTAGGCCTACTCGTTAAAATAAAACTATTTCCGTTGATATAGGTTAATATAGTTGTCTTTTTTTAGCGCAAAAAAAATACCCTTTCGTTCGGTCACAAAAAAATTAAAAATTGTTATGGATAACATAAGGAAATTGCGCTAAAATTGTCACTAGACTTTTTATTAACTTGTTTCTATTCTATACATTCCTAATAGCATAGAATCGCGTAGAAAAAGACATGAGCAACAATATATACGCAAATTATCAGATTTTTAAATATTTTTTTAGAAATCGGAAATAGCGTAAAGTACTACTTCCGGTCACTGTAAATCACTCAAAATTTTACAGCAAGAAGAGGATAAGAACTTATACCCGTGTATAAAATTTCGTCCACCTAACGAGTGTTTCTTCCTGACTTTTTTCTCCGGTGGGGGGGGGGGGGGGACTTGAAATTTCGGGGGGGGGGGGTAGACTTTCTTCGGGGGGGGGGGGGCGGACACTGTTAAAAGTATATATTTTCTATATAAATTTCATTTCGTTTGGCGGGGGGGGGGGGGGTAGACTTTCTTCGGGGGGGGGGGGGCGAAGAGATGCCTGGAAGAAACTCTGCACCTAACTGAAACAGTACTCAAGTTATCATTCCCACAGAAGTAGATTAATGTTTACAGACAGACATATAGTCCCACATAAGTACAAGCAAAATTGCAAAACTACATTTTTCCGACTTACGGAAGTGTAAAAACGTGACAAATCTCGGTTACGATGTTTTGCAGGATTACACTACTTCCTCTAAACTTCGTATACGAGAAAGTAAAAAAAAAATTATGTTGAGGCCTTGGGCAAATTTCTTGTTGGATAAGCAGAAAGTTGGGTTCGTGGTTGGACAATACACTGGCCAGTTAGTCCTCGCTATGACCAGAAAAACATGGAACGTACAGAATCCTCATCCAAAGCTTGAGCACAGCCAAAGAGCCAAATTAGGCTCAGAGCTGAGCATGGAGTATAAACTAGTATTTGCTTTCGATAAATAAACTGTAACCAGTAGGCCTATACTAGACAGCAATTAAACATTTGCTGCCATTCGTTAGTTTGATGGGATGGTCTGGGTGTCTAACGCAGTTTGTGTTTGACTCCATTTGACAAGAATGTTCAGCTCGACAACTATGAATATTGATGTTTACTTACTTCAGACTGCGTTTGTTGAGCGCCATCCGCTAGTTGTACCGTTGTAAAAATATAAGGGTTTGTTACGTTTTTATGCTCGTGTATCTAGTGGACATAGGTACTTACTTAGGATGTGTATAGTGGACTAAGTTACTGTTGTGTCTAGTGGACTAAGTTACTGTTGTGTCAAGTGGACTAAGTTACTGTTGTATCTATTGGACTAAGTTAATGTTGTGTGTAGCGGACTAACTTACTGTTGTATCTAGTGGATTAACTTACTGTTGTGTCTAGTGGACTAAGTTACTGTTGTGTCTAGTGGACTAAGTTACTGTTGTATCTAGTGGATTAACTTACTGTTGTGTCTAGTGGACTAAGTTACTGTTGTGTCTAGTGGACTAAGTTACTGTTGTGTCAAGTGGACTAAGTTACTGTTGTGTCTATGGGACTAAGTTACTGTTGTGTCTAGTGGACTAAGTTACTGTTGTGTCTAGTGGACTAAGTTACTGTTGTGTCTAGTGGACTAAGTTACTGTTGTATCTAGTGGACTAAGTTAATGTTGTGTGTAGCGGACTAAGTTACTGTTGTGTCTAGTGGACTAAGTTACTGTTGTGTCTATGGGACTAAGTTACTGTTGTGTCTAGTGGACTAAGTTACTGTTGTGTCTAGTGGACTAAGTTACTGTTGTGTCTAGTGGACTAAGTTACTGTTGTATCTATTGGACTAAGTTAATGTTGTGTGTAGCGGACTAAGTTACTGTTGTGTCTAGTGGACTAAGTTACTGTTGTGTCTATGGGACTAAGTTACTGTTGTGTCTAGTGGACTAAGTTACTGTTGTGTCAAGTGGACTAAGTTACTGTTGTGTCTATGGGACTAAGTTACTGTTGTGTCTAGTGGACTAAGTTACTGTTGTGTCTAGTGGACTAAGTTACTGTTGTGTCTAGTGGACTAAGTTACTGTTGTATCTAGTGGACTAAGTTAATGTTGTGTGTAGCGGACTAAGTTACTGTTGTGTCTAGTGGACTAAGTTACTGTTGTGTCTATGGGACTAAGTTACTGTTGTGTCTAGTGGACTAAGTTACTGTTGTGTCTAGTGGACTAAGTTACTGTTGTGTCTAGTGGACTAAGTTACTGTTGTGTCTAGTGGACTAAGTTACTGTTGTGTCTAGTGGACTAAGTTACTGTTGTGTCTATGGGACTAAGTTACTGTTGTGTCAAGTGGATTAAGTTACGGTTGTGTCTAGTGGACTAAGTTACTGTTGTGTCTAGTGGACTAAGTTACTGTTGTGTCTAGTGGACTAAGTTACTGTTGTGTCAAGTGGACTAAGTTACTGTTGTATTTAGTGGACTAAGTTACTGTTGTGTCAAGTGGACTAAGTTACTGTTGTGTCTAGTGGACTAAGCTACTGTTGTGTCTAGTGGACTAAGTTACTGTTGTGTCTAGTGGACTAAGTTACTGTTGTGTCAAGTGGACTAAGTTACTGTTGTGTCTAGTGGACTAAGTTACTGTTGTGTCTAGTGGACTAAGCTACTGTTGTGTCTAGTGGACTAAGTTACTGTTGTGTCTAGTGGACTAAGTTACTGTTGTGTCAAGTGGACTAAGTTACTGTTGTGTCTAGTGGACTAAGTTACTGTTGTGTCTAGTGGACTAAGTTACTGTTGTATTTAGTAGATTACGTTATCGTTGTGAAGTTGTGTCTAGTAGACAAATTAAATAGCGAATTAAGTTACTGTAGCGTCTATTAGACACTCGATTAAAAATTAAACTCTTACTTTTACATAGTGGAAATTGCCGTCGGTCACGACCATTTGTTAAAAGCTTAGCTATTCCAGTTCATGTTAGTTATTTAATTAATTGGGATTATAATATAGGGAATTACGTCACGTTTGTAATTTGCAACATTTAGAATAAGGAAAAATGCCGTATTAAAAGTGTAGATTAATTAGGAATATTAATCTACCTGTACCTTTGTTAAGATCTGAGTCTGGGTTTAAGTTTGGCGTAGTGGTATCTTCACAACACACATGCACACACACACATGACATACACATAAGTGTCAGTGGCGTAGGCAGGGGGGTTAGGGGGGGTCATAACCCCCCATAGACCCCTCGGTATATATATAAAGTATGAGGGGGGGGGGTGCAAATCGAAAGTTTTAGGGGGGGGGGGGTGCAAATCGAAAGTTTGTCCCAGGGTAAAAATTGGAACCCCCTCCCCTTGAGACGATCCTGGCTACGCCACTGATAAGTGCAAGGCCCATCAAGCGCAAAGTAAACTAAAATATACAGGCTTTATAATTGCTTTTTACCAGTTACTGACTCCTAACAGTATTTACTTTTCTGTTACACAAACAATGAAGACAATAGTCAAATCAGTGTGTAAAGCCTTGTAGCAGTCTATTTTTAACATGCGCTGTGCAAAGTTCAGTGATATTGTTTTTTTATATATAGCTTTCCCCGTTGGCGCCTCTACTTATCGGCGCCCGGGTCGGTCGCCCCACCCACTCTCCCCTTGCTACGCCTCTGCATATGTGTATGTCTATTACATGGGTTGATAGAACGTTAAATAACAACAATTAGTGCTGGATTCCTGTTGTTCCATCTCCCGTGGTTGTCACATGACACAATATAATTAGCAGCCATAGCTACATTGTTAGCCCACGTTGGGATTGTAAAAAATATGCCCGTTTTAAAAGCTATGCTGTCTATGTAGAACGAGCTGTGTGTAGTCTAGGCCAATCAGCAGATGTTACGTAAACCACGTGACTTAGAGATTGGTCTAAATTTATCAACGACGTGTAAGGTCGTTCGATGTCTCATTATCTTATTTAATTGTTAGATGGCACTAAGTGAGAATTTATACTGTTTAAACATCACAACTAGTGTTTCGTCCAGACTTTTTTCTCTGGGGGGGGGGGGGGGGCATTTGAAATTATCGGGGGGGGGGCGGTAGACTTAATTCGGGGGGGGGCGGACACTGTTAAAAGTATAATATATTTTCTATATAAATTATATAAATTTCATTTCGTTCGGGGGGTGGGGGCGATAGAATTTTTCCGGGGGGGGGGGCTTCCTGGAAGAAACTCTGATCACAACGACAGCAAGATTACGTTGCTTACAAAATCTTGAAAATTTACTTATCCGTTTTGTATTTAAAGAAAGTATTTAGACTACATAAAGATAAAGTTGGACCCAGTGTTTCTTCCAGACTTTTTTCCGGGGGGGGGGGGGGGTTGAAATTTTCGGGGGGAGGGCGGACTAAAATTTTCTGAGAGCGGGGGAGCGGACATTGTTAAAAGTATATATTTTCTATATAAATTCTATTTCGTTCCGCCCCCCCCCCCCCCCCCCCCGAAGAGATACCTGGAAGAAACTCTGGTTCGACCAAGCAGATTTTGCTCTTAGCATCCACATGGTTTGGTTTTTAGGATAATAAAATTATAACAAACTATTAAGTTTAATGACAACTACCTGTTACATATACCTGCCCGAATCCTATCCGAAACCTATCTCTAACATAACCCTATCTTTAACCTAATCTACACTCTAACCCAACATTTGCGTTACAATAGAACAAACCTAGAATTTAAATCAATTGTGAATATTAATTAACGCAGACCCTAATGTTTAAATGGTCGACAAAAAATAAGAATATAAAAAATTCACAAACAAATAACAAAGATCTAACACACTGATATAAGCTGTGATTGTTTCACGCTAATTAACGTGTTGTGATTACTTTTTGCGTCCTGTCCTACCATAGTCGTGATGAGTATAGGACCACCTGTTTCAATCTCGCTGTGGGCGTCGACTTAATCAACATGGTGCGTCGTCTGCCGTGATAGAACAGAAGTCATTGTTAACCTTTCGTGCCAGCTTGTTAGTGCTTTGTCGCTGCAAGAAAATGGCGCGTTTTTTGTTGCTTGTCTGTTTGACAGTGGGCATTGTGTTCTTGACACAAGGGGAGCCAACTGAGGATGAGTATTCCATCACCATCAGGATGCCAGATGTCGTATCAGATAGGGTAAGATTTTGACACAACATGGTGTAAGTTTGATAATATTTAGTGGTACTCGTGGACATTTGAAGTCGGTAAATATATTTTGTTACAGAGTAAAATTAAAATAAGTATTTTGCTGAATTAATGAAACGTTCTAACCAAACCTATGAAATCTATACTTTCAACTCAGGTCATGTCTGTTTTGTGTTTTGTTAAGAGTGAAAGACAGCAATTAACCAGTGTTTCTTCCAGACTTTTTTCTCCGGGGGGGGGGGGGGCACTTGAAATTTTCGGGGGGGGGGGCGGATAAACTTTCTTCGGGGGGGGGGGGGGGGCGGTCACTGTTAAAAGTATATATTTTCTATATAAATTATATAAATTTCATTTCATTTCTGGAAGAAACTCTGCAATTAACAGCTTATCGAATTATAAGTAAAAAGTGATGAAAATTTTAATTGAAACATCTTCGATGAGTGTAATGTCTAAAATATCTAAAGTATACATTGAAAAATAATATCGTGCAATTTACCTACAGCCCCTATTCACTATGTTAAATTTTCTCACACATCTTTTATGTGTTTAAAATGTTCACAAATGAACATATTAAAAAAATTATAAACTGCTGTACAAAAAGCATATGGAGTTATTTAATTTATTTCGAATGTCAGGTAGATCTAGACAGTGTTTCTTCCAGACTTTTTTCTCCGGGGGGGCACTTGAAATCTTCGGGGGGGCGGTAAACTTTCTTCGGGGGGGGGGGGGGCGGACACTGTTAAAAGTATATATTTTCTATATAAATTATATAAATTTCATTTCGTTCGGGGGGGCGGTAAAAAATTTTCGGGGGGGGGGGGGGGGGCAAAGCCCCCCCCCCCCCCCCCCCCCCCCCCCGAAGAGATGCCTGGAAGAAACTCTGGATCTAGATAAAACAAAATTGTTGTATTTGGGCGCAGTCTGAAACAAAAATGTCCCAAGCGCCAAGGGATCAATCACTTCCTAGTAAACACCACGCTTATCAGCGCTATCTCGATCTATGTTTAATTATGGACGTGCTGTTTTATCTCTGCTATTTACCAACACCAACACAGCAATTAACTAGTGAGTACAATAAAATCGATGGACCAGTAAACACTAGCAGTCTGAAATGCTGAGTAGAAGATTTAGTTGTGTTGATGTGGAGTGTTTTTTTTTTGTGTGGGGTAATGTTAATGGAGGCGCTACTTTTGGATAATTTGTGACGATTAATGTTTAAGATTAAATAGATTAAAATTATCCATATTACATTCACATTACCCAACAAGTTTATTATGACCCATTTATGTGGTAGATTCTACTATGGACGTAACAATCAAGATGATTTCTTTATCCCTGTTAGTGGTAGGTGTTGTTCCCTATGTGGCTTATACTGGAAGGTGACAAAGTAGAGGTGGTGATACTGTCCATCATTGTGTTACCATTTGGTGACAGTATCAGTTGTTGTCTAACTGAATGTTGACACAGTATCCCTGAGTGTTACCTATTGGTGACACTATCAGTTCGGTGACATCAGTCTTAAATACAGCATCGGAGCACGTCCACCAACCGTCGGACAGAAAGAATAAATATACAATTTATATAGAAAACCTACTTTTACTAGTGGCTGCTCCTTCTGGAGACAAATTTCTGAAAGAAATAAAGGGGTCGGCGTGGTCGGTGGAGTAGCGCATGGTTCTTAATCGAAAAGTCCCGAGTTCGAACCTCTGGGCTGATGAGGATCGAAATCTGGGGACAGCAACCTATCAAGGAGACACCAAAATCAAACAACTGCTGCCTTGTAGCTTGTTATTGAATGGACAAAGGCTATGAAAATAAATACAAAAAGATAGCATGCCGAAGAAAAAGAAAAGAGACGTATTTTGTATAAAAATATATAATGTTAAATAACTAATTTGCAATAACGTATTAGGCTGATTGTTTTAGTTGTATTTTTTGTGGTCCTAACCTATCATTACCTAAGTGTGTGTTATTTGTTAAACTGATTTTTTTTTCTTTCTGACAGGCAGATGCTCTTATCTGTACAAGTGTTAAACTTGACCCAAAAGAGTCTTATCTCAGTAAGTTTTTTTTAAAGCGACAAATTAAGTATAGCATTGGATCATATTCATGAAGCAAGAGTCTTATCTCTACAATTTTTAATAAGGACGAATTTAAATATAGCTCTTGATTCTAGTGTAATAGTCATACAATTTAAAAATAAAAATTAAATCACGTTTTTCTTTCGTGTAATTAATTTTTTTTTTTTTTTTTTTTTTTTTTTTTTTTTTTTTTGCAAAAGCAGCATGTAGGGAAAACATTAGAAAAGGATTAACTCTGTAAAACTAAAACTACAAACCTTGTTTAAATTTTTACAACAGTTCGGTTTAAACCCCATGCCAGCAAGGAAACGGCGCATCACATGATGGTCTTTGGGTGCCACCAGCCCGGCAGTACCGCGGAGTCTTGGTAATTTTTGAGTGATGTTTGCTTTAACTCTATCCCGGCATCATTGTTGGTACACTTCCCCTGTGACATAACTTCCCCTGTGACATAACTCGTACCCTTGTACCTGATTACATATTTGGTACCTTTTGCTTGACAACGTATTTGATACTCTTTTACCTGTTGCATATTTGGCACTCTTTACTCGGAAACACCTTTGGTATCCTTTTCCCGGCAATACATTTGATACAGAGGCGTAGTGAGGGGGGACATATGTCCCCGGGCGCCGACCTAAGGGGGGGGGGCGCCAAATTGAAAGTTTGAGGGGGGGGGGGTGCAAATCGAAAATTTGAGGGGGGTGCAAATGAAAAGTTCGAGGGGGGGGGGGTGCAAATCGAAAGTTTGTCCCCGGGCGCCGGGAAGGGTCGCTACGCCTCTGATTTGATATCCTTTCCACTGCAACACATTTGGTATCCTTTACCCGGCAACATATTTGGTACCCTTTCCCCGGCAACATATTTGGTATCATTTCCACTGCAACACATACATTTCTGTTTAAAATGTAAAAAAAATGTAACGTTGCACTTTCTGAACCCCTTCTCTTCAACGCACATTGCTCCAAAAATCTGAGACCCCCTCCCTTCTAAGAGTGTGACTTTATTTATGGGCGATCCCAAAGTCAATTGTTTATTTACACAAAACACGTACATGAGCAATACCAACACAAAATACAATGTAAATATAACAACTGTAGTTTGAACGTCGTGTATTAAACCATCGTGTTAAGAAAACTATGTAGAGATTGGCTAAAAAACTAAAACAATTGTTCTGGCACAGGGCTTGTTTTAACAGCGACGGACAAGACGAAAACTCGGTCTGTAGGGACGGAGAGCGAGAGATTCTTTTTGCCTGGGCTCTCGATGCGCCAGATAAATCTTTACCCGAAGGTCAGCCTGTTTTTTTTTTTTACTTTACTTTCTTTTGATTGCTTAAAGCTCAACTGTAATATATTTTCGGTATTTTTCTATTCAATTTGTATGAATTCTCCACTTCTCTAAGGTTGTGAATTTAATGTAGAATTAAGATAAACATTTTTTGCGATTGGCTTGACTTTCTAAATCGTATAAGTTAACAATTATATTATTACTAAAGAAAATTGTTGTTAGTAACTGCTTTTTCCAGTATTTAATTGGTCATTTATAAATGATGCTACACTATTCGGGGGAGGGCGTGGGGGTTTGGGCTTATGGAGCGATGTATGACGAGGGAGACGGGGACCGGGGGTAGGGGTGGGTTGGGGTTCAGAAAATGTGGAGGCGGGGGCGGTATGGAGTAATTTAAAAAGCGTGACGAAATTTAAGGACGACCACTAAAACTTAATTGTGATATCACACTCAGAATTTATCGTTCAATTTTTTTTCTCTAGGAGTTGGTTTCCGTGTGTCAGGTAACACGACCATCACGCACCTTGTCGTACAGCTTCATTACGCCACTGAATTCGCTCGTAAGTTTCCCATCATTATAGGGCTGGTAAGTAGGTCACCAACCAGTTCTATGGCTCATGCAGGTTTTATTGAGCCGTAGAACTGGTTGGTGACCTATAAGCATACACGTAATTACCGCTCAACCAAGTTAACGCCAGTAATTATGTTCACCTTAGTGATGGAAAAGAATTATTTCGTAGGTTTTTTTAAACATATTTTAAACAAAATTATATATTTTTATCACATTTTTTAATGTTCTATTCAAGGTTTAAAAAAATAAAATTTATCGGGTATATTTTTAGCTGGTGTAACCGACAACTCTGGTATAACTCTGGAATTTACCAACAAAAGGTGAGAAAAAATTACCTGGCTATGTTTGTTGAATGTAATGTAGAAGTTGTAGCTCGCTGCTAAACTGTGCTACTGCTGTGTAAATGTCACATAGATAGAAGACAAAAGTCGTGTAAACACATCAACGCTTGTTAAAATGGGAGCAGCTTACTGCTTATGCTCTGATATAAGTATAAAAAATATTACTTTGATATGTATTCAAGTAAATTTAGTAAAGATTATTATAATGATTTGTAGAATTCAGAATCGGATTTCCTCTCTAACACATAATTTAAACATGTAAAGTATTTCCTCTAGTCTAAATGGTTTTCCATTAACGTCAAGCATTTTAAAATGATTTTTTCCCCCACACATTGTCACTAAAAATTCAGCCCTATCCCCACCCCCTTATAAGACGTCACAGCTTAGTCTGCAATTGCAATTATTGTTTTTGTAATAACGATCTCTATTAAATTTAGAAACATATTGAGCATTTGCACACACAAAAAAAAAGATTTTTAACAATGCATAATAAGGTTAAAATTCTGTTTCAAATATTACTTTTTAATTCAAGTGAAAAAAAAAAAGTCACTGTCTGTACCCTCTCTCCCACGTGTCATGTATAATCAGCGCCCCCCCCCCCCCCACACACACACAACTTCCCCCCTGCACTAAAATTGTGACGTCTCTTATGGACGACTCCTAACTACAAAGGGCAGTCAACAGGTGTACAGACTGGCATTCAGACTGACAGACGAACTTGCGAGCGGTCGGATTAACACAGATAAGACACATACGCGGACACAGTGTTTCTTCCAGATATCTCTTCTACCCCCCCCCCCCTACAAAATAGAATGTATTTAGAAAATAAAAATACATACTTTTACCAGTATGTCGTCCCGTCCCCGTTCCCCCGGAAAATTTAGTCCGCCCCCCTTAGTTGTTTCAAATGCTCCCCTCTTCCCACCCCTTGGAGAAAAAAGTCCGAAATGACGGACGATCGACACACGGACAAGCACAATTTAGGATATTCTGACAAAAACATATTTGTGTTTAAAATATATAAAAATCAAATGCATTTTTAAGCAATAAGTATGTATCTGCATATATTTCAGACCTCCGCAACTGGCAAACTACTATGTACTTGGTAACTGGGGGATAATCCCACCTCAGCTGAAAGGTATTCTCGCTTTAATCACGCAATTTTTTATTATTGATCTCACACTTTTTAAAATTATCCATCTCAAAACCTAGTCTTTTATCATTAATACCTATTATTATTTTCTTTTTTTTTTTTAAATTTGGCAAGGTGTGTGTGTGTGTGTGGGGGGGGGTAATATTGTTGCCAATGAATTTCCTTATCGAGGATTACGAGAAAGTTGCGTGTACTGGAGGGGAAAATGTAAACAATGATAACGTAAAGGATCACAAAATACATAATATCACTTGGATTTTATGTTTTACTCATTAGTCTGGTGATTTTACATCAGTTCGATATTTTACTCTTTAATCTGGTAATTTTACATTAATTTGATTCTTTACTCGTTTGTCTGGTAATTTTACATTAAGTTGATACTTTACTCATTAATCTGGTAATTTTACATGAATTTTATACTATACTCATTAGTATGGTAACGTTACAGTTGTTCGATAGTTTACTCATTAGTTTGGCAATTTTACATCAGTTTTACACGTGTTTGATACATAACTCATTTGTACGGTAACATGCGTTTGTTTTTCTATCCAGAATTTCACATGGAGGCAGCATGCGAATACAGAAGAAATTACACAATTTATCCAATCGGGTTTCGAACCCACGCTCACAACCTTGGTAAAAACAAACAACACTAAAAAAAAATATTTAAATTTCTAATTATGATAATGTTAAAGGTGCTAACTACTATTTAAAATATATATAAAAGCTCATGTGTAGTAAAATATATTAAAAGGCAAATTTTTTTATTTTTTTTAAATTGTACATATTTGTTGACGTCACGTTTTTGCAGGTGTAGTGACGTCAGGTTACCGTATACGTAACGGCAAGTGGACGGAGATTGGGCGTATGTCGCCACAACTACCACAGGTGTGTGTGTGGGGGGCAGTGGTGATGTGTTGTTGTGTTGATGTGCTGCTGTGTTGATCTGTGGTTGAGCTAGTGCGTGTTGGTGTTGATGTGTGGTTCTAATGATGTGTGGTTGTGTTGATGTGTGATTGTGCGTCTGTGTGCTGATGTGTGGTTAGTGTGGTCGGATGATATCCATCACAATCACACGAACACAACTTACGCAATGTATTCCTAAATTATCCTATTTGTTAATTAACATAATTTAAAAAATAAATATATAAAAACCCTTTTTCCTTTCACAAATGACTACATCTCTGTCTAATTGTCTAAAAGACCTTCTACGACATTACACATCCAGGAATGGACATAAGAAAAGGCGACATCCTGGCACATCGGTGCACCATGAACAGTATGGCCAGGGACACTGTCACAAATATTGGGTAAATTTGCTTGAGAGTTTTAACAAACGTTTACAACTCGCAGACGTTTACAACTCGCAGATAACTGATTTTTTTTTAAATTTTAAATAAACTCTATAAGATCAGTTTACCGCTAACCCCAAAGTATCGAGTTCAAATCCGGGTTCAAGTCTATAGAACGTCCCTGAGTCCACCTAGTTCTGATGGGTACCCGACTCATGTTAAGGAAATAAATGCGGCTGGGCATAGTGAGTACCACAATATCCCTTCATATGCCAAAGTCACAGAAACAGGTGAATTCTACTTCACTTGCCCTATGGACCATTTTAAGGGAACATTTTTTTTTATAATCGAAACAATTTGGCATCTTGCTTAGATATAGGGTACATATAATTGGCAGAAGAAAATTAAAGAAAAAAGTAAAAGCAGGCTGATTTGCATGTTATATTTTGAGACTTAATTAAACAACTTTAAATGATAATTATAAAATTTGTTTTTAAATTAAACTTTTGATACCGAAAGTTCAACTGATTTTTTATTTTATTTTTAGCGTAATATTTCAACAAATATTGTTACTGAAACCATTTTTGACGCCTCTCACAGCTCAACCAACCACGACGAAATGTGCAACTTCTACATCATGTACTCCACGTATGATGACGAGCTCATCGGTACAGACTTCTGCTTCAAAGACTCGCAGTACTACCAGTGGCTGGACGACTTCAGTCCTGACGTCATCCCGAAAGACGCCAGCTCATTGGACGGTATCCCGGGGGCGAGCGAAGTCCTCGAGAAATTTAACGGTAAAGGTGACCAAGGTCACGGTATGCACGGGTGATATTGTATCAGCTTGTTGGTTTTGTTAAATAAATAAACAAAAGGGCTTTGTCCAAACAAGTCACTTCTTTTTTCTTCTTCTGCGTTCTTAATAGGGCTGGTAAGTAGGTCACCAACCAGTTCTACGGCTCAATAAAACCTGCATGACCCATAGAACTGGTTGGTGACCTACTTACCAGCCCTATTGAATTTATGTTGGAGGATTATAACTTTAAAATATGTTATTGCGTGTTTTTTTTTTTTTTTTACAAATAATTACAGCATTACATGTTGGAGGATTGAAACAACTAGTCCAACTTCGTGGATCAAGTGGACTGTAGTCCCAGATATGCAGGATTCCCATAAAGCAAACAAGTCATTGTTTGCTGTTATTTTTTGTCTACTAGGCTTGTATTTCTCATAAAGAATACCATATTAGCCTACCTTTTCGCTTTTAAGTTAAACAATTAATCAGTTGCGGTTTAAAATGACGCAGATTATTGTTTTGTTGATGTTGAAGATACAATCAACTTTTGCTAACTTTAAAATAGCATTTAACTCAAACAGAATCCTATTAACTTTAAAATGTGATTAAAATGTGTTATTGTGTTTTTTTTTTTAAACAAATAATTACAGCATTTTAAAAATATATCCACGCTGACAATAGTCTTTAACATTCATATGGCGAGCTTTACTTCTTCACTTTGCAAGAATTTCTAACAGCTATGTGGTACAAATTCGGGGTTATTGTTTAATAATCATTGTTTTAATTAATGCATTCTAGTGTTCTATAAATAATAAGCACTTTGGTAATTATTATTCAAAAATATAAACATCAACTACTACTAACAATAAATACATCAATATTATACAAAGTAGTCTCAGATAATGAAATAACACTCAAACAGTCTTGAAATATTAGGAGCACTCGATCTTACGATTGAAAATATGCTCTTTACGGCGCCTAATTCTTTTATTCGTCGAGAAATGTGTACATACACCTACACGCTAACACGAATATTTGGGGAAAATTGTTCTTTACATGTAGGTAATTCGCCAGGATTGACGTACCAGCACTACGAAGGAATATATTAGACAAAGAAGTTGACGCAAATGATCAACCAGCATTATGAATGGGAATATATTAGACAAAGAAGTTGACCGCAAATGACCAACCAACATTATGAATGGGAATATATTAGACAAAGAAGTTGACGCAAATGATCAACCAGCATTATGAATGGGAATATATTAGACAAAGAAGTTGACTGCAAATGATCAACCAGCATTATGAATGGGAATATATTAGACAAAGAAGTTGACCGCAAATGACCAACCAACATTATGAATGGGAATATATTAGACAAAGAAGTTGACGCAAATGATCAACCAGCATTATGAATGGGAATATATTAGACAAAGAAGTTGACTGCAAATGACCAACCAGCATTATAAAAGAGAATATATCAGCCCAGGCAGCTGACCATGCGTGACCGTGGTTCCAGTCTGGGATTTCTCCGAATGGCTGAAAGCGAAAACCGTCCCGTTGCAGAAGGCCGAGAGGCGGCCATGTTGGCCAGCAAACGTGTGGGGGCCTTGAATGCTGGCCACCAGAGTGTAGGCCACGTCTGGGAACAGACGTACCCTCTGGTCAAACATGACGTCATATATGTCTTGTTTTCCGGTTGTGATAAGACAGGACTCAACACTGCAGACAACGTTGTCACTGGGGTCAAAGATTTGACCTTTGATCTGTAACTCCTGTTGCGTCCCTTTGCACGCTCCGTAGATAGAAAAACCTTCGATGAAAATTACTTTGTTGATCTGAAATAAAAGCAACACAATTCATTGAACTTTTGAAACTCTTAAAACAATAAAAAATAAACATTTAAATCCTTTTTCATTTTTCTAAAAACCAAATATGTGCTTTTAGCGTTTACTAGCGAAAAATTGTTTTAAAAAATTAAGCGGGAATTATCTCCCCTAAACTATCTCGAATATACTTAGATAACACGACGGGGGATGGCAACTTGGTATAAAGGCATGATTTTTAATACATTTTTAATTACTTAAACTTTTTAAAATGAATAGAATAGCGTAAAGTACCGATTCCGGTAAAAGAAAAAAAATTACTCAAAATTTGACACAAGTCAGAGACACACAGACGCACATACACATACACACACAGACATACGGACACAATTGCAAAACTATGGTTTTCCGACTCAGTGAGGTTTGGGATTTGGGGTAATCTCTATTTGGATTTTTTTTGCGTTATTACAATACTTCATCAGCACTTCGTATACAAGAAAGTAAAAACGAGAACAATATCCGAATCTGTTAAAAAATACTTTACTAATAATGTCTGCAAATAGTTATTTTTTTACCTGGAAGGTAATGGCACTGTTTCCTGAGCGGTTGTTGAAAGCAGCCTGGCTCCGCTCCTGAAACCTGTTAAAGCGCTGGTGACGTTGTATAGAACGTGATGTGGACGGGAAGAATACACTTGTTCTGTGGAGTAAATAATACAATAATTACGTTATATATATATATATATATATATATATATATATATATATATATATATATAACTAATATATAAAGCTCAGTTCTGTATGTAATGCATTTGTATGTCGTTGGAATTGTACGAATTTAAAAGTTAGAAAATTATCGTGCGCATTTGTCTAAATTTATGAGCTAAAAAATTACTATTGAAAGTGTTGGGAAATAATTTTCATTTTTCAAATTATAGTAATAATTGTCGGCATGTTCATTAAACACAAGTTTTAAAAAAAATATCATCTTTTACAAAAATTCTAATTATGCCTTATTTAGTCCTATAGCACTTACTTCCCTTTGATAATTTAGGAAAAACACAATTACTTCCCTTTATAAAACCATTGCATTCCGTGAAAATAATTTACTTTTTAATTACTTTGTTTTGGTGTTGGGAAAAAAAATAATTACATAATTAGCGGGGATTGATCAAGTGCAAATGTTGTAGGTATTTTACGGATAAGCTTGGAGTATTAAAATTGTTTATTAAATTGAAACAGGCGCGTTCGTTTAAGTGAGTGCAAAAGACTGTGAATAAGTTGGGGTACTATAGTCGTTCATTAAGCTAAAACAGGTGATTCCGCCCCGGGCTTTTATGTTCGCGTTAGTGTTTTCTTTGTGTTTAGGTGGGTTTGCGTTAGTGGTTGCGTTTTAATTTGGTTCGTTTTTGTTCTTTCTTTTTTCGTTTTTGTTTGTGTTTTTTTTGTTTGGGTTTGTATTTGTGTTTTTGGTTGGTTTTGCGTTTGGATTTGGTTTGTTTTCGTTTGCTTTTTCGTTGTTTTTTTTTTTTGTTGGTATTGGTGTTTGTGGTTGGGTTTGTTGTTAGGTTTTTGTTTTCGTTTGCTTTTTTGTTTGTTTTTTTCTTTGTGTTTGTATTGGTGTTTGTGTTTGTGGTTGTGGTTGGGTTTGTTGTTAGGTTTTTGTTTTCGTTTGTATTTGTAATTGTGTTAGCGTTATGTTTGCGTTTTGTTGTTTTGGTTGGTTGTGGTTTGGGTGGGCAATGCCGGGTTTATGATGATTACTAAACACACAGGTAATGGTCTTTAACAGAAAGGTTTTTCACAGAAGCCAGAGCAGGGCCTGGCCGGGACGGCTAGTATATATATATCTATAATATAAGCGGGCTGAGCGTGTCCTTCCTTCCGTCCGTCATCGCTATAGATTTTGGGACTATAAAAGTAAATTGCGCACCACGCTGTGCTTTTCAGTGCACCGCAGTGTCTTATTATATGTATTAGAGTAGGGTTTGTTTATATAGCGGCAAAGAGCTATTTTATAATTTCCACTGTTTGTACAATTTTGCATAACGTAAAGAGAATATTAAATACACGCACACTGCTAAAACATATTAAAAGGATCAATGTCAAATATCGTTTTCGTTAATATTCCTAGAAAAAGTGGATACATTTTTATAACATAATAACTGTAGGTTAGAAAAATCTAATCAAACTGTTTAGTAATTTTGCCAAGGGAGGTATTTTAAAAATAAATTGAACTCACGCTAAAAATGTGAATGCAGAATCTGCAAGAAGAAATAATTGTTGGAATAATATAATTAGCTAAATGTGAATGCAAATTATGCAGACGTGTAAGAGTACATTATTGTTGGAATATTATAATTAGCATTGATTGATAAAAGGCTATTTTTTATTTATTTTATTCACTGAATGTAATGTTTACTACTTATAATTTTTAATCAACTATTAAGCACTATTATAGACGCGTCATCACGTTCATTTGGTGCGAAATGGTTTTAGTTAGCAAACTCTATTGTAAATTTTTAAAATTTAAAGTACTGGGAAAAAAATGCGTGAATTGATAAAGTGATATAATATGGTAGGTAAAACACGGATATTTTAAATACTGCTGGGGGTTTTATAGGAGAGGCGTAGAGAGGGGGGGGGGGATATATGTCCCCGGTTGCCGACCTAAGGGGGCGCCAAAGTGGGTTGGAAAAAAATTGCGGGGGGGTGGTTGAAATCGAAAGTTTGAGGGCGGTGGGAGGGTGCAAATCGAAAGTTTGAGGGGGGGGGGGGTGCAAATCAACAGTTTGAGCGGGGGGAATTTCAAATCAAAAGTTGTGCAAATCGAAAGTCTGAACGGGGGGGGGGGGGGGGTGTGGTGGGGGGGGGGGGGTGAAAATCGAAAGTTTAAGGGGGTGCGGTGGAAATTGAAATTTTGAGGAGAGGGGGTGCAAATCGTAAGTTTGAGGGGGGGGGGGGGGGGGGGGGGGGAGTCAAATCGAAAATTTTTCCCCGGTCGCCGGAAAGGGTCGCTACGCCTCTGTTTTATAGTCATTCACTCTGTCAGACGCGTTCGGCGGCGCTCGGAAAGGGCGCGATTTGGCGCTACGGGCTAGACTGTGAGCAATATGCCTTTATGATTGCATTTATGATGTGTTTATGTTATGAGTGTTATGTTTGTTTTTTCGTTTGTTTGTTTTTTGCGTTCGTTTGTGTTGTGTTTAGTTTTGTTCTGTTCCCAAGCTGGTACATTTAAAAAAGATTTACCGTGGCGGAGCACGGGATGCAGCTAGTATATATATATATATATATCTATAATATAAGCGGGCTGTGTCTGTCCTTCCTTCCTTCCTTCCGTCCGTCATCGCTATAGATTTTGGGACTATAAAAGTAAACTACGCACCATGCTGTGCTTTTCAGTGCACCGCAGTGTCTTATTATAAGTAATAGAGTAGGGTTTGTTTATATAGCGGCATAGAGCTATTTTATAATTTCCACTGTTTGTACAATTTTGCATAACGTAAAGAGAATATTAAATACACGCACATTGCTAAAACATATTAAAAGGATCAATGTCAAATATAGTTTTCGTTAATATTCCTACAAAAAGTGGATACATTTTAATAACATAATAACTGTAGGTTAGAAAAATCAAATGAATTTAACTCTTTTCTACTTTTGACAAAGGAGGTAATTTAAAAATACATTAAACTCACGCTAATAAAAAATGTGAATGCAAATATACGTTCGTCATAGAAGGAATTAGTGTTGCAATAATATAATTAGCAAAATGTGAATGCAAATTATATGGATGTGTAAGAGGAAATTATTGTTAGAAAATTATAATTAGCATGGATTGATAAAAGGCAATCTTTTATTTATTTTATTCGCTGAATGTAGGCCCTACTGTTTATTACTTATAATTTTTAATCAACTATTCAGACGCGTCATCACGTTCATTAGGTGCGCAATGGTTTTAGTTATGAAACTCTATTGTAAATTTTTAAAATTTAAAGTACTGGAAAAAAATGCGTGAATGGATAAAGTGAAATATTGTAGGTAAAACACGGATATTATAGATACTGCCTATTATTTATACTGTTTTCTAATTATTATTCTATCTTTCGGGTTTTATAGGAGAGGCGTAGCGAGGGGGGGGGGGGGGGCATATGTCCCCGGGTGCCGACCTTAGGGGGCGCCAAAGTGGGTTGGAAAAAATATGCGAGCGGGGGGGGGGGGGGGTGTGGTGGAAATCGAAAGTTTTAGTGAGGGGGGGGGGGAACAGGGGTGCAAATTGAAAGTTTGAGGGGGTGCAAATTACCGGAAAGGGCGCGATTTGGCGCTACGGGTTAGACTGTGAGCAATATGCCTTTATGATTGCATTTAAATTGTGTTTATGTTATGAGTGTTGTTTGTTTTTTCGTTTTTTTTTTTGCGTTCGTTTGTGTTGTGTTTAGTTTTGTTCTGTTCCCAAGTTGGTACATTTAAAAAAGATTTACCGTGGCGGAGCACGGGATGCAGCTAGTATATATATCTATAATATAATCGGGCAAGTAGTGTGTCAGTCCTTCCTTCCGTCATCGCTATAGCTTTTGGAACCATAAAAGTAATCATTCGCACCATGCTGTGCTTTTCAGTGCACCGCAGTGTCTTATTAAAAGTAATAGAGTAGGGTTTGTTTATATAACGGCATAGAGCTATTTTATAAATGCCACTGTGTTTACTTTTTTGCATAACGTTATGAAAATATTAAATATTCGCACATTGCTAAAACATATTAAAAAAATCAATGTCAAATATCATTTTAGTTTATATTCCTAGAAAAAATGGATACATTTCCATAAAAGTAGGTCGAAAAAACTAATTAATTCAACTTTTTTTTGTGTGGTAATTTTTTCAAGGGAGGTAATTTGAAAATATATTTAACTCAACAATAATTTAAGTTAATCTTTTTTTTATTACTACCGCATTGATTAGTCTATGTTAAGGTTCATAATTAAAAGAGAAAAATGTTAAGATTATTTATATTATTTTCTAATTAGTCTATGATTTCTCAAAATCACTATTTTTTGTTTTTGTTTTTTGGTGTTAACAGATGGTGAAATTTTATAATTATAGTATAGAGAATGCTGGAAAGACTCTCTCTAGGCGCGGACGCCTGGGAAAAGCGTGTTTTTCGGTGGTAATTCTAATTACATTGCCAATGTGTTTTCTTAGAACCATAAAAGTAAACACCACTTGCCGTACATTCATTTGCATCGCATTGTTTTATTATAAGTTATTGAGTAGGATCTATTTATGTGACTTAAATTTTTAATGTCGGAAAGGCTCTCTTTGGGCGCGGACGCCTAAAAAAGCGTGTTGTTTGGTGGTGATTCTAATGTTGTGGTTGTGTTGTTTTTTTTTTTTGGTTGTGTTGTGGTTGTGTTGTGGTTGTTTTTTGGTTGTGTTGTGGTTGTTTTTTGGTTGTGTTGTGGTTGATTTTTGGTTGTGTTGTGGTTGTGTTGTGGTTGTGTTTTTGTTGTGGTTGTGTTGTGGTTGTGGTTGTGTTGTAGTTGTGGTTGTGTTGTGGTTGTGTTTTGTTTGTGGTTGTGGTTGTGTTGTGGTTATGTTGTGGTTTTGTTGTGGTTGTGTTGTGGTTGTTTTTTGGTTGTGTTGTGGTTGTGTTGTGGTTGTGTTGTGGCTGTGTTAAAGTTGTGGTTGTGTTGTGGTTGTGTTGTGGTTGTGTTGTGGTTGTGGTTGTGTTTTTTGTGTTTGTGTTGTTTTTGTTTGTTTTGTTCTGTTCCAAAGTTGGTACATTTAAAAAAGATTTACCGTGGCGGAGCACGGGATGCAGCTAGTATATATATATCTATAATATAAGCAGGCTGTGTCTGTCCTTCCTTCCTTCCGTCCGTCATCGCTATAGATTTTGGGACTATAAAAGTAAACTACGCACCATGCTGTGCTTTTCAGTGCACCGCAGTGTCTTATTATAAGTATTAGAGTAGGGTTTGTTTATATAGCGGCATAGAGCTATTTTATAATTTCCACTGTTTGTACAATTTTGCATAACGTAAAGAGAATATTAAATACACGCACATTGCTAAAACATATTAAAAGGATCAATGTCAAATATAGTTTTCGTTAATATTCCTAGAAAAAGTGGATACATTTTAATAACGTAATAACCGTATGGTAGAAAAATCAAATTAATTTAACTCTTTTTTTCTAATTTTGACAAAGGAGGTAATTTGAAAATACATTAAACTCACGCTAATAAAAAATGTGAATGCAAATATACGTTCGTCATAGAAGGAATTAGTGTTTCAATAATATAATTAGCAAAATGTGAATGCAAATTATGTGGATGTGTAAGAGGAAATTATTGTTAGAAAATTATAATTAGCATGGATTGATAAAAGGCAATCTTTTATTTATTTTATTCACTAAATGTAGGCCCTACTGTTTATTACTTATAATTTTTAATCAACTATTCAGCACTATTATAGACGCGTCATCACGTTCATTAGGTGCGCAATGGTTTTAGTTATGAAACTTTATTGTACATTTTTACTTTCTCGTATATACGAAGTATAGAGAAAGTCTTGTAATCGTGCAAAAAAAATAATCGAGATTTTTGCAAATCTCGACGTTTTACATCTCACTGATACGGAAAAACATAATTTTGCAATCTTGTCCGTATGTCTGTGTGTCTGTGTGTGTGTGTGTGTGTGTGTGTGTGTGTCCGTGTGTAAACACGATAACTTCAGTACCGTTACAGCTAGGTTGATGAAATTTCATATACAAGTATTTTATCAAAATCGTAGATCCGTATCAACTTTTGAGCGATTTCGGATAACCGGAAGTGGTACTTTTTCTACTTTGAATTTTTTAAAAGCCTATAACTTGAGTACTATTTCAGATAGATAAATGAAATTTGATATGTAAGTAAAAGATCTAATTCTCTACCTTCTGTCAAATTTTGAGAATTTTTCGTTGACCGGAAGTACTTATTTACGCTACTTCCGATTTCTCAAAAAACTAATGTAAATTTTAAAAGTACTAATAATATTGCGCACTATTATGCGCTTTTTTATTCGCGTTCACTTGGTGTGCAATTAATTTGTCTACGAGATTTTATTCTATTTTTAAAACTTTAAGTATTTAAAATGGATTAAAAATCATGTCTAGAAGTCTATAGCCCGAGTTCCCATCCCCTGTTATTTTATATAAGAATATTCGAGAAAGTTTAGGGGAGATCACTCCCGGTTTATTAAAATTTAAAGAACTGGAAAAAAATGCGTGAATGGATAAAGTGAAATATTCTAGGTAAAACACGGATATTTTAAATACTGCCTATTATTTATACTGTTTACTAATTATTATTCTATCTTTCGGTTTGCGGACAAGCTAGGGGTTTTATAGGAGAGGCGTAGCGAGGGGGGGGGGGGGGTTGTGTCCCCGAGTGCCGACCTTAGGGGGCACCAAAGTTGGTTGGAAAAAAATATGCGAGGGGGGGGGGGGGTGGAAATCGAAAGTTTTAGGGCGGGGGGGGGGGACAGGGGTGCAAATCGAAAGTTTGAAGGGGATGCAAATCACCGGAAAGGGCGCGAATAGGCGCTACGGGCTAGACTGTGAGCAATATGCCTTTATGATTGCATTTAAATTGTATTTATGTTATGAGTGTCTTTTGTTTTTTCGTTTGTGTTTTTTTTTGCGTTCGTTTGTGTTGTGTTTAGTTTTGTCCTGTTCCCAAGTTGGTACATTTAAAAAAGATTTACCGTGGCGGAGCACGGGATGCAGCTAGTCTATAATATAAGCGGGCTGAGCGTGTGTCAGTCCTTCCTTCCTTCCTTCCTTCTGTCATCGCTATAGCTTTTGGAACCATAAAAGTAAACAACGCACCATACTGTGCTTTTCAGTGCACCGCAGTGTCTTATTACAAGTAATAGAGTAGGGTTTGTTTATATAACGACATAGAGCTATTTTATAATTGCCACTGTGTTTACTCTTTTGCATAACTTAAAGAAAATATTAAATACACGCTCATTGCTAAAACATATTAAAAGGATCAATGTCAAATATCATTTTCGTTTATATTCCTAGAAAAAGTGGATACATTTTAATAACATAATAACAGTACGGTAGAAAAATCAAATTAATTTAACTCTTTTCTAATTTTGACAAAGGAGGTAATTTAAAAATACATTAAACTCACGCTAATAAAAAATGTGAATGCAAATATACGTTCGTCATAGAAGGAATTAGTGTTGCAATAATATAATTAGCAAAATGTGAATGCAAATTATTCGGATGTATAAGAGGAAATTATTGTTAGAAAATTATAATTAGCATGGATTGATAAAAGGCAATCTTTTATTTATTTTATTCACTGAATGTAGGCCCTACTGTTTATTACTTATAATTTTTAATCAACTATTCAGCACTATTATAGACGTGTCATCACGTTCATTAGGTGCGCAATGGTTTTAGTTATGAAACTATTGTACATTTTTTAAAATTTAAAGTACTGGAAAAAAATGCGTGAATGGATAAAGTGAGATATTGTATATATTATAGATACTGCCTATTATTTATACTGTTTTCTAATTATTATTCTATCTTTCGGGTTTTATAGGAGAGGCGTAGCGAGGGGGTTGGGCATATGTCCCCGGGTGCCGACCTTAGGGGGCGCCAAAGTGGGTTGGAAAAAATTTGCGAGGGGGGGGGTGGAAATCGAAAGTTTGAGGGGGTGCAAATCACCGGAAAGGGCGCGATTTGGCGCTACAGGCTAGACTGTGAGCAATATGCCTTTATGATTGCATTTAGATTGTGTTTATGTTATGAGTGTTGTGTTTGTTTTTTCGTTTTTTTTTTTTTTGCTTTTTTTTTTGCGTTCGTTTGTGTTGTGTTTAGTTTTGTTCTGTTCCCAAGTTGGTACATTTAAAAAAGATTTACCGTGGCGGAGCACGGGATGCAGCTAGTATATATATATATATATATATATATATATATATATATATATATATATATATATATATATATATATATATATAACCATAGTTACCAAATCTTAAGAGCTAGAACCATCGACAACTAAAGTAATTTTCCAACTAGACATGACACGTCATAGAAATGTTGAATAGTAATTCTTTCAAGGCACTGGAGATTTCTTAAAGTGAGCCAGATACAGTTTCAGTCAGGAAAGGTTGATGGAACAATAAATTATAAATTCTCTTTGCGATGGCGAGCTACAAAAAACGATTAACGATAGGAGTGGCACATTGACCTGCACATGCTGTATTTATTTTTCTAATCGAACCTTCCTGTCTGATAGTGCAAGATTTATGATGTGTACTGTACAGAGAGAGGCAGACATCTTTACCTTGTGGATACAATGAAGGGTCCCATTACGTCCACTTTCTCTTCCTCCGAAAGAAGATGACCTTGAGATATTTCGTTGACAAATACCGACGGAGTCAGAAGAGGAAATCGAATCTGTTATATATATATATATATATATATATATATATATATATATATATATATATATATATATATATATATATATATATATATATATATATATATATATATATATATATATATAATTTAATATTTTTACTTATTGTATATTTTGGGGCGGTGTTAGCATTACCTTGTAAAGTGTACTCCCAAGCATAATTCTACAGTTTTCATCAGTTTCAGCCAAACCACGTCTTCTACATTCTGCTTTAGCCCATCGTATGCAAGCGTTCAGAACCAACTCTTCCTGCGATAGAAAATATATGTAAAAAACATAGTTTCCCAAAGTTAGTTTGTCTTTTTATTGAATACAACAAGGGAACGGAGACCGAGGGGTAGTTCATCATTGTTTATGCTGAAAGTTGGTACTTCCATCATAAGAGAACACAAACCACTCACGCCGGCCATCAGGTTATCGTGAGCTACGATCGCAGCCAGGCAGCTCTCACACAGTTGACTGACGTCATCACTCGCCAGGACCTCCTGGGCTCTCCTCAGTATAACAGCCAGAACTTTCTCGTGGAATTCACGCTCGTCGAAGAAGTGGGCCTAAGTTGGAACGGGGAAAGCATATTATTGATGCCAACCAATGAAGTAAGCCTGTAAATAACTTATGACTTCTGAATTATTGTTGTATTAATTTATTTGATTTGGGAATATAAGTCGAAATCTAGAGAATACGCTTGCTTGCCAATTTGACTTTTCTAAAAATGTATGGTTTATTTGCTATAAACACTGTCAATTTATCTTGATGATTTTGGTTTCAAAATAATAGTATCTTAACTACATCTCAGGTTAATTATGTGTAGGCTCTATTAAAAAAAAAACTTAGAATTTCTTTTGATGGATCAATCTTTTTAATAACGATAATAAACGTGGCACTAATAAATTATCGTGTGTATATGTTAAAAATTAATGACCTACCTGTTCCAACAAGGCGCAGGCATTCTGTGGGTCAAGGTTGTCTTCTACAAACGACAGACACTTCTTGGATAAGCCGCTGGTTGAGTATTTCTTGGCACAGTACAGGAGGGGGATAACGGAGTCTGCAGAGAGGCTGACGTCACCACAGTAAAGGTATCTGCAAGTAAGGTTACAGGCTAAAGTCAGGTTACTGGTTACTTTAATGGTGAATACAATTCTATAAAATTAGAAAAAAAAAATAGAAAGGTTGTTTAAAGCAATTTTCTGTGCTTGGGGATCCAACATCGTCAAAGCATAAAAAGTTGTTCCATAAAATAATTTTGGTAAATATCAGTATATTGGCTAGGATGTTTAAAAGCTCATCAGTATGTTTTTCATTGTTCAATATTCTTTCAGTGAAACGAATACAAAAAAGGCTAAGTTTTAAATGTAACATTTTATCAAAAGAAATATTTTTTACACAACTTGTGACAAAATTAGCTATTTATATTTATACTTTAATAACTTTGATTTTAGAAAGGTAAAGCTAGACAAGATGTTTTTACTCTACCTCAGAAATAGAAGAAACGTTTGGGGTTCTATGTCAGGTATGGTGACGTCACATCCATCTTGGCCGTTTTCTTGCAAGGGAGACTGCAGCATGGCGTCAAACACAGGACTTCTGCTAATCAGAATGTAACGGTGCGCCCCCTGACGTAGCCCGTCCTTTCCCAGCTTGAAGTGGATGTCGCAGGCATATTGGTGGTCAAGCATCGTTTGGTTACTCTTGATGATGTCATCACAGTTCTGCCAGTGTGGGAGAAGCTCCATTTCTTTCATGATCTGTTACTATAATCAAACGTTAATCAGCAAATAAATTTTCTGACATTAGTTGGCATGGTTTTTATAGGTAAAGACAGTATAGCAATTGGATTTCAAGCACACTTTTTGCCCTGTCGATGTTTTGTTTAGAAATAAGGCCAGGGCTAGAGCATCTAGTGCCAGGTATGGGGTAGCTAATTGCCTCGGTACACCGTGTGTGTTTATTTATAGAACTAAGAAGTCCTGGTAAAAATGGACCAATCATTACGGACCATGGAACGGAATTTATTGTTGAAATAATTCTCTCTCTCTATCCCTCTCTCTCTCTCTCTCAAACACGCACGCACACACACATACACACTGGGTAAGTAAGCTTGTATTTATAAAATGTTAAAAGTATACACGCACACACGCACACACACACACACACACACACACACACACACACACACACACACACACACACACATATATATATATATATGTATATATATATATATATATATATATATATATATATATATATATATATATATATAGACCTATACATTATGTATATTTAAATACACACACACACGCATATATATATATATATATATATATATATATATATATATATATATATATATATATATATATATATATATATATATATATATATAGGCCTATATATCCTACAATTCGTTATATATTTCGATGTAAAAATTCACATAAACAATATAGTTAGAGAACATGTTTTTAACCCGTGCCAGCAGTTACGAATTATTAATTCTAAATACGATATTCATTTTAATCCGTTTTAACAATTGCTAAACACAGAGGGTATAGTCGATGCAAAACGAAACGTTATGTGAAAAACGCTTACCGTCTCTAGCAGAAGAATTAGAATGTCTGCTGCAGTATAGGCAGTGGCATTAAAGAATGCTTTCAATCATTAAATCGTCGTGTTGTATTAGAATTTACTAAGAACCCATATATAGAACTGCACACTGCAATAACCATCATTGCCTTTTAAGGCATTCTGGGCTTTTTGAAAAAAACAAATAGGCCTAGGATTAGTGTGCATACACCATTACGTCACATAAAGATCTATACCTTGTTAGGTTGTGTATTACAGATCGATTTTTAAAAATATATTTCTTTTTGCTGGTATGTTTTGTTAGATTTTCATTTGGGTCGATATTTTAAAATGGTGCGATCAAGTTAAGTAAAAGGCCAAAGTTAGTTTAGATTATACAAACTTTTAGCTATGTTTTTCCATAGCTTTATTTTTAAACATTTTTAAATACACCTCACCCCTCCTTTTCCTTCACTAGTTTGTCACATGTAATAATGGGAATTTCTGATGTACTATTTTTATAAGTGACACAAATAGTTACCTTATAAGGAGCTTTATAGATACATTTTTTCTGTGGCACAGTTTATTGATTTCTATCACTGTGTATTCCATTCAGCAAATGGTCTATACGTCATATGCAAATATTTTCTGCACATTTTCTGGTGACAAACTATTTAAAATACTGTTTTAAGTTGTGAATTGTATTTTGTATTGCATAATATATATCTCGCCCGAGAAACGTGAACATTAAATTGATCTAGTAAATAATTGAACAGACTATATTTGGTTACTTTTCAATAATATTATCTGGCTTCACGGATCGTCGTTTAAGGGAAGCCACTCTAAATTTCTAAAGAAAATTATATTCTAGTAGTCGGACATAGATATAGAGTCTAGAAAGTCTAGAATCTAGATCTAGATATCTAGATCTATTATCTAGACTTCTATGTTCTAAATTCGTATTGTTAGAAAAGCTAGAAAAAAATGAAGGATATTCTTATCATAGAACCATTTAATGGCGGTTCACACCAGCAGCTTATAAACATTCTTGAAGCAGATACGGAGATAGGACCCAGATGCGAAATTTGTTCCCTTCCAGCAAAAAAGTGGCAGTGGCGAGCACGAACTTCAGCACTTTATTTCAGTCAGACCATTCCTTATTCCCAGTACAGGTGTGCGCTTTTTATTAGCAGATTCTTGTCTAATTGACTTGTAATTAATAAAAATATATATTATAAATAATAAATATTAAATAAGCCTAGAACTTAATAGTAATAACTAGGCCTATAGGCTTAACTTAATTTTTTTAAGTGACTACTCGGCAGAAGCTTCCCCCCCCCCCCCCCCACCACCCAGCACTAGTCTGGCTGGTAGGAGATGCAAAACTCAATTGTCAATTACCTTATGGCTTTGCAATGGGCTTTAATTGATATGATTGGCACTTGTTAATTTATTCCTTCTTTTGATAAATGGTTGAAATAAAGAATCCATAATGTATTCACCATTAGGCCCTAAGTGTTTTATTTCAACAGAGTTTTATTTGCAAGTTCAGTAATAAACCTTGCTGAGCTCATATCTCTTCGCCCAGACCTCGCCTCTGTTAGAAAAATAATATACTTCCATGAAAATCAACTGATTTATCCAGTTCAACAAAAACAAGAAAGGGATTTTCAATATGGATACAACCAGATTCTCACAAGGTAGTTATGAGAAAATTCCTGTTTACAGAGTATCTTTTATCTTATTCTATTAACATTACAAAATTTTGCAATGTTTTAATTTTAATAATAGTGATTATGTAACTAACTTTTTTCAGTTTTTTAAAAAATACAAAAATAGTTTGGTTGCAGATATAAATGTTTTCAATTCTTCATTCAACATGGAGTCTTTCTTGAAGTCCATTTCTTCACATTTAAAACTTATTCCTGATCATCGCCCAAAAAATCTGGAAGCTCAAATACGGCCAAAGTGTCAAGTTCTATACTTTCCTTTGTTAATACCAAATGTGGACAAAAGCTGTGCATTTGCTGAGAATGACAAAGCTGCATATTTTCTACAGACAGAAGATAAAAGTCATTCAGAACTTAAAGGTAATAATAGAACTGTAGGGGAGATAATTGACATGGAAAAATCAAGTGCAAATTCAGACAATGAGAATTTAAATTCTGATTCTACATCTTTACCAAGTCCAAGTAAACAGCTTAAAAAGGATGGACATGTTTTACATATTGTTTGGCCTCACAGATGGTTAGTTGAATTTTTATTTTGTTTTATATTGAACTGTTAGTAGTGTTAGTCTTCTTCACTTCTTCACCTTGCTTTTACATTAAAATGTCTTGGATATTTTGTTGATTTCATTTTTTAAAGCTTTCTTTTGACCTTTAAGTTTACAGTTTTGCTTTTTAAACTACCACCTTGTGATATTTTTTATAATTAGGGTTGTACTCTGATTATTTGGTTACACTCTCTCAGCTATAGAAGGATCTCTGAAACTGTTTTTATATTGTATTGAAGAAAAGATAAAAATGATAAGCTATTTCTATTGCAGTTAGACCACATAGTTTTATAGTTTATTTATTTTAAAAATTCTTTACTCACAAACTTTCTGGCTTCTTAAAACACACTTTTCTGTGAAGTTTTGTTTGCTAATTCACATGTATAAAGTGTAGGACAGTGCTTAGTAATACTCACTTAGTTAAACTGAGAGCACAAATTTATTTGTACTAATATAGCTAAATTTATACCCTATTTTTCTTCCAGGGAACATGATAAGGATCCCAAAAGTTTTTTTGATGCCCTACTACAGCTACAAGGTGAAGGCCACGACTTCTGTGTGTCGGTGATAGGAGAGACTTTCTCCGAGGTGCCAGAAGTCTTCAGCACATGCAAGCCCCTGCTGACTGGCAGGATTGTTGCTTGGGGCTACCAGTCCAGAGAGGACTACCTGAAGGTTCTAGATGCAGCAGATGTGGTCGTGTCTACGGCTCAACATGAGTTTTTTGGTGTCAGCATGTAAGGGTTTTATTACAATATTTTATATTTACATAATTTTAATAGTTTTTTTAAATTAGATTTTTTTTTATTGTAAAGACATTTTTTTACTAAATTTTATGTTTCATATTCAATTTTGTGTTCTTTTTATTGTAAAGGCATTTTAAACTAGGTTTTGTGTTATTGTGATAAAAAATGTATTTTTAAATGAATTTATATTTCATTCAATATTTTTTATGTTTAATGGTACTATATAGTGAATATTTATTACACCAATTTGAAAAAAACACATTAAAGTATTTTTATATAAAAATTTCAGGTTAGAAGCTGTCAGTCATGGTTGTTACCCTCTGTGTCCCAAAAGGCTCGTTTATCCTGAGATTTATCCAGGTAATTATAAACATGTTTGTTTCTTAAAGTTTAATGGTCTTGTTGGGGTGGGGGGGGGGGGGGGGTGGTACACACACAATGGTGTATTCTGTCCTGTGACCTATAGGTGGTGTACAATAAATTGTTGGTCCTGATGAAACAAATACAAATGGCATATTGAAAGTTTCATCTCTTTGGGCTTTTATTTTTAATAATTTTTATAATAGAAGTTTTTTGTTTAGCATTAAAGAAATGGCTTAACATGCTTGAATTTTTCCATGTCTCTGACAAATTTTTTGTTTTTAGAAGAGTCTCTATTCAACACAAGTATTTCTAATCACAGGTTTAGAGGAGTGTCTGTGTTAATTGAAACCATGTCTATTTTTTGTTTTGCAGAAGAATGCCTGTACGCAACACAAACTCAACTAGTGAAAAAGTTGAGAAGATTTTGTCAAAGACCAGCTTTATCCAAACAACATAGTCATCAGGTTTGTCAACCATATTTTAAATTTTTGTTGAGTTGTATTGGTGTTTTATTACAGTTAAATGAGTTTCAGATTTGTTAGCAACAATGTTCCCTCTAAGGGGGAAAGCAAGTGTGCAATGTTTATTTTTGTGTGCGCTTTGTTATAAAAGTTTTATACAAGCTTTTATGTATTTCACAAAATGACTGCGCGGCAGCTCAAAAGTACTGCGCTGCCGTGCAACTGCGCAGCTTAGAGGGATTGTTGGTTAGCAATATGCTGTTTTTAAGTTTAATTTGTATTTTATAACAATTTACAATTGATCATTAGTTGTTGAATTATATTTTTTCTTATTAAACTATATCCACAGGAATTGATCAAAAAATTTTTGTGGGAAAATTTGCAAGTCAATTACAGACAACTTTTATTAAACTAGCAGATTGTAAATATTTGTATTACAGTTATATCATTAAACAAGTATAACATTTTTTATTGCCTTAGACTTTTTGTTTCCTGAAACGACTTAATCATTTGATGCTTATTACCATTTATCACATTACCTGTATGTATGTTGTGTATATTCTCTTGGAGCAATACACTACCAGGTATATATTTTACATGGATCTTCACATTTGTGCAGATTCTATCATGACTAACTTACTTAGTCCTCTTTGCTCCTTATGGAACATAGGGCCTCCACCATTTCCTTCCATTTCATCCGATCCCCGGCTATTAATTTTGCCATCTCGCAAGACATCCTTGTTGGCTTCAGCTCTTTGAAAAGACTCTGTTCCCAGGTTTGTCTTGGGTGCCCTCTCTTCCGCTTTCCTTGGGGGTTCCACTCAAGCGCTTGGCGTGTCACATTTGGGTGAGCCTTTCGCAATGTGTGTCCCACCCATTGCCACTTCCTCCTTATTTGCACATTTATAGGCTCCTGCCTTGCTTTTCTCCATAATTCTATGTTCGGCACTTTGTCCTGTCACCTCAATTTCAAAATCACCGCCTTGAAGTGGTGGGATGGCTTGAGTGCCACAGCGACCCCCAGAACTATGCCGGCGGGAGCCTAGTGCTCCTGGCAGGTCTAACCAAGTCGGACAGATCTGTGGGGGTAGGGGCCAGACCAAACGTTGTGCCCTTGTCCTCCAGGTTAAGGGTTGTGCGATGGGCTAACTACTCATCCACATAAAACAAAGTATAGTTACAGAAACCGAAGATTCTATCATGGTGAGCAGTAAATCCTATGCTTAGGTGTCATGTAATGAACACAGTAACCAAAGCATTATTTATTAAACTATTTGATTTCCTGGTGATACTTGTAGAGGAAAATGACACTTCATCTTTCAATAGGCACTGATGCTACTTTATTTAGCATCACACTTTTCAACCAAGATTTACTGGTTTCATTGTTTTAAGTAACAAGTTAGTAGCAAATTATTAGTAAAGTCAGAAGTGAACACAAGACAGTGAAGAAATTCCATTTTTTGTTTTTATTTAGCTACATTTTATCTAGCAGAATATCTTTCCTTGGGTTTTTAGAGGGTTAGTAAAAATGTGCAATGAAGTTACAAACCTGCTTATTTGTAATGCACACTGTAATAAAAATTACTCATTTAAAGTGTTGTGATACCTCATGCATGTAAAAACCTAGATGTAATACCGTAATTAACAAAATTTAATACCCTTATCGGTTAAAAAAAAGTAAAATATTATACAGTTATTTCCCTTACTAGATTCTTTTACCGTTAAAATACCATGTTAGAATTGGAAAGGATAATGCATAATCTGCATTTTTACACGCTGAACAATTGCTGCTATCAAAAAATATTTGATTAAACAATCATTCATTACGTCATTATATTTTGTTTTCTTGAAAGATAACTGTGTGCTAGGATTTTGGCATTGGCCATTAACATTGATTAATAAAGAGAGAGGAAGTAAAAAGCTGCGTGAGGAATTTTTTCAGCTTGCCGATGAACTTAGAAGACTTGCCACATTGAAGTTTGATCATTTAGTTAGACCCACACTAGTCTAGACTAAAACCCGTTTAATTTGTTTTTCAATGGAGATTTGGCTGGTAAATCCAAGATTAAGTGCTATCCCGCTCTATCACCACATCAACACCCCCCCCCCCCCCTCCAGTTACACGTTTTTGATGTAAATCAGACTTTTTAAAAACAACGTGTCGGGGAAAATGCGTTTCTCACTGGTATAAAATACAGTGACAAAATAAAAAAAAAAATTCCTGGATATGATAACCCAGTAAGTTAATTAGCCGCATGTTTCTCTCTGGCTTAAAAAAATCAAGATGCTTTAAGTAGTTTGGGAAATTCATTACGGTGCTGGAGAGAGATTAATTTAAAGTAAATAAATCTGGTCTGCTGCACCTCATAGGACATGTTATCTACCCCCACCTCACCTCTTGAGTCACCAACTAAACAAACTGTTGCTACACTTCTAGTGATTTTTTTTAATATAGCATAAACATGTGCTGGTGATACACTTGGACTGTCAAAAGTATCGCTGTTCCAACCTATTCACTTCTCAACTTTCTATCTCAACTCTTATAAGAGAAGTTACTAGATATCTACCAGGGTTTCTTTTAGAAAATTATTTTCTGCTTGGTGGGGGGGGGGGGGGGCGACGTTCTCCGGCGAGCAGGGGGGGGGGGGGGTTAGCACCTTAGAGATATGCCTAAAAGAATCTCTGCCTAATTATCTCCAATTGAAAATAATCCTTAAAAAAATTCTAACACAAATTACGTTGTTCAGCATTTTCCTTATTCAGTTACTTATAAATATAAAATGCATAGTAGTTGTATATATGAAAAAAACAATCGACCCTCCCAACCCTCTTTTGAAGCGTGAGCTTTGTTTTTTAACGGAAGCTCCATTTATGTTGAAAGTAATTGATTTAGGATTCCTTATAATTAAAAAAAATGAAATTTGTCGTTGAATTTTTCTATATACAAACGTTGAAATCGTAGAATACATGCTGACATTTTTTTTTCAAAGCCACGATCTTTAAATAAATGTGTATCCCAATAAAGACATTTATAAAACATTTGAAAGAAAATAATGGTATTAATAACTCATTTTCAGAAAATAATGTTATTTATGACAGATTTGTCAGAAGATAATGCCATAAATTCCTTGCTTCATTATTTCTTCCCGTCGGCTAGCACATGGCAGAGCTACCTGATAGGTAAATGTGCATGGTAGACAGAGTACCTGCATTGTACAGACAGGTGGGAACATCCTTGATGAAGAGCTGCAGACAAATATAAAGTTTTTAGTAAACATAGAGGTGCCCGGCGGGTCAAGGTTCAAGTATTTAAGGTCAAGGAAACTTAAGTGTTTAGGGTCAAGGTTACATACGAGTTTTGGGTCAAGGTATAAAAGCGTGTTGAGATCAAGGTTACAGAAGTGTTTAGGGTCAAGGGTAGATGCGAGTTTTGGGTTACGGTTACAAAAGTGTTTAGGATCAAAATTATAGAAGTGTTTGATAAAATGTTTCATAGATTTTTTTGCTTTGTTCAAGTTTACAAATGAAATTTATGTTTAAGTTTACGTCTAACGAATTATGTGAGGGGTCAGTGCACCATTAGGACCAGGCACACGGCATGGATTATTTTAACTTCAATGGAAATCTCTGAAACATCACTAATTAGTATTATATTTTTTCTTTGAAATATTTCGATTACAAACTTTGATTTTGTTACATATAACGCCCTTTGATTATTACAGCAGGGCCTGGTTCAAAACGTAATGTGATACAGTGTTATGTGTTCGATAGTGGCGCCTATTTCAACTAAATGTTTAATTTATTTAGGTCCTATGTGTTTAGAAAGGTAACGAAATCAAGTTTTCACATGTCCCTAAAACTATTAACCTCACTCCAGTACAATGCCGTTCTATATTACTGCTAACATACACCACATCTATAGCTAGACTTACCCGAATCGCCGAAATGCCTATAGTCGTATTTTTACTGCTAAAATACTCCACATCTGAAGCTAGTCTTACCCGAAACGTCTTTAGGTCTATATTTGTCTCTAACATAACAAAGTGACTAGTCTTACCCAAAACGCGGTAACGTATGTAGTTCTATATTTTCTGACAACACATCAACACATGTGTTTACCCGAAACGCCGAAACATATGTAGTTCTATATTTTCTGATAACACACCAACAAATGTGACTTACCCGAAACGTATGTAGTTCTATATTTTCTGATAACACACCAACAAATGTGTCTTACCCGAAACGTATGTAGTTCTATATTTTCTGATAACACACCAACTAATGTGTCTTACCCGAAACGTATGTGGTTCTATATTTTCTGATAACATACCAACACATATGTCTTACCCCATACAACTGCGACCTTGGGTGCTCGTACCGCGGGGATCTAAGGTCGGCGATCAAAGCCCATCCAAAAGCTGTGAGCTCCCCTCCGTTGTAGAGCAGGAAGGCGGGGAAGATATTGTCGCAGTTCATGCCTACGTTCATATTGTACCAGTAGTGTTTTCCTGTAAACAGACGCACAGCATGGTAGCTTGTAGTCAGCTATAGCACATTTAAACAGTTGATTGAAAAACAATGCGTTGTATTAGATCAGAAGCGTAGCGAAGATGGGGGGGGAAGGGGGGGGGGGTACATATGTCCCCGGAAGCCGACCCTAGGGACGCCAAAATGGGTTGAAAAAAAAATTAAAAGCTCATCTTAGCTGCAGTTTTGCATTATAAATATAAAAAATATATGGGGGGGGGGGGGCTAATTGAAAGTTTGTCCTCAGGTTCCGGGAAAGGTCGCTACGCCTCTGTATTAGATACTTCAAGGGCTCTGGCCAGTACAGTTCAAGGTTGTTTAACCGAAAAGTCCCGAGTTCGAACCCCCGAGCAGATGAGGAGGCTAGATCACTGAGCACTGCAACCCTTCTAGGAGAGACAACTCTAAAATCAAAAGTACTGGTACTTTATTCTTGAAAGGACAAAGGCTATGGTCAACGGACCACATGGCGCGTAAATTTTGACACGTAATACTTAATTGTGTTGGAGGGAATCCCGACCAATATTATAATTAAGACGGAAGAAGAACATACTTCAAAAACGTGTTTTTACTTTTATATATGATTTTTTAAAAAGATTTTTTTTAAAATTTCCTTTTTAAGAACTGACCCATAGATATAAAGCACCTTCCCTCAGTCCATCTGGTGCTCCCTATGTCCGCCTGTTTGTGTGGTATCAGGACGCTGTGTTCAGGCACGGTGCTGTTCTGGAAGTACAAGTTAGTGCCCGTTCCCTGTTGGTCAAACATCGCCTGGGTGCGGCCTGTTGTACAGATGGTTGCTGGGGAGGGGAGAAAAGTTTTTTTTTTATTATCACGGGGAAGGTCAGGGACGCAGAAAAAAGTATAGGTTTTTGATAACATCACAAAGGAAAGGATCTACTAACATAGCCTTGATGTTTTTGCGGAGTTTTAATAGGGCTGGTAAGTAGGCCACCAACCAGTTTTACGGCTCAATAAAACCTGCATGATCCATAGAACTGGTTGGTGACCTACTTACCAGCCCTATTGGGACTCGACTGGCATATCTTATTGGTCATGAAGCTACTAACACATGCCATGAACCTGTGGCCAAGATGTAAATTCTTTGGGTTTTGACATTAGTGAAATTTTTTTGGGTTGTGTCATAAATGACATATCACAGGGGTTGTGACATTAGTGACAAATTCTATGGGTTGTGTCATAACTGAATAATCTTATGAAGTGTGGCATTACTGACGGCCTTACTGACAATCCAATATGTTGCGACATTACTGACTTATCCTAGGGGTTGTAATATTACTGACATATCCTAGGAGTTGTGACATTACTGACTTATCCTAGGAGTAGTGACATTACTGACAAATCCTCTCTGTTGCGACATTACTGACATATCCTAAGGGTTGTGACATTATTGACATATCCTTGGGGTTATGACATTACTGACATATCATAGGAGTTGTGATATTACTGACAAATCCTCTGAGTTATGACTTACCAGGGTCGACAAAGTAGGCTGATATCGCCCACCGATCCCCATCATCAACAAAAGGTGGTCTGATCAGGCTGGAAGGATAGTTACCGCCCTTAGGAACCTGCAAAGACAACGTTCTACTAACATTCCGGATTAAGTTTAGTTTTCACGGTAGTTGAGGTGACAGGACAGTTTCAATAATATTCTAATTTGTAGATAGTTTTGAAAGAATTAAAATGGGGCACTGATACAATAATAAGTCCACAACGTTTACCCGTTGACTAGCTGTATTCTAATCGTTTTTTTTTCGTTTTCAACCAATGTATACACGAAAATATACGCCATACGGGAGTAAACATACCAAACTTACTTAAATTATCACTAAAAGTAATTTAAACTCTAACTAACGACAGAATATGCTAGTTACCATCCAACACACTAGGCTATCAACCAACACACTATCCATCAAATCACGCTCTTCTTCTCACATGCTATCAACAAAACCCACAATTTATTCCACCAGCTAAAAGATCCACATAGCGACTGAACTTTGCAATGATGTAAACTTTTACTTCTTCGTTCTTAATTTCAGTGTTGGAAGGGATGGAGCCATATCTACCAGAGGGTTTAAACTCGAGACTTTTTTCGAATTTATTAACCATGTGCTTTTTGCCGACTCGACTCGACTCGACCACGCCTCCATCACAATTAAGGATACGTGTCAACTGGTTATGCGCCATTGAGGCCATTGACTCCGATTTCAGCCTGCTTTTCTTTTTGGATAGCCTTTGTCCAACCAAGAACAAACTATAAGGCAGCAGTTATTTGATTTTGGAGTTGTCGCTCCTAGAAGAGTGGCTGTCCCCAGCTAACGAGCCTTATCGTTCCCGAGGGTTCGAACTCGAGACTTTTCGGTTTAGCAACCATGAGCTTAACCGACTCGACCACGCCGACCCCTATGATGTAAACAAAATCCACATATTCACCGTATCCTGTTGATTTAACTAAACTCACAATCACCCCCCCCCCATCATTACGTAACCAGTCTGTCTGATTTAATGGCCAACACTACACCAATCCTGGCCCCCGACACATTTGATTGATGGCCCAGCTAACCCACACACAACCTTTGTGAACGATTTCATTCCAATGGCATTTTTTTCTCTCTGTGAAACATTGATCTAGTCCCATCCCATTTTTTCCTCTCAGTGAAACAATCATCTAGTCTGGCGTTAGCTCATTACGGAGTGTTTAATTAAAACTTTAATCACAACAACGTGCGTGACACATGGACAGCTACACCGCGAAATGGATAATTTATTAAATTTAAACGACACAAAACAGCGATAGCATTAGATAATTTAGCAGCTTTAAACGAAACAACATAGAGATAGCTTTAGATAAAAAGATTTCAACCAAAACATGGAGGTGGAACCGAATATTCCCTAATAAATGTCTGCAGTGGCGTAGCCAGGATCGTCTCAAGGGGGGGGGGGTCCAATTTTTACCCGGGGACAAGCTTTCGATTTGCACCCCCCTCAGACTTTTGATACCTTATATATATATAACGAGGGGTCTATGGGGGGGGGGGGGTTATGACCCCCCCTAACCCCCCTGCCTATGCCACTGAATGTCTGCATATTGTTACAATTGTAAAATCGATTTGCTGCATGGACCATTTTATATCTAAAATTAAAAGCTAATTACAATAAAAATATTTTAATCTCCAAGCTCAAATTACAGGTTGATTTTTATGTTAATGTAATTTTAGACAATTTTAACTAGTAATTGAGATTCAAAGACGTTGTTCATTAATGTCTTGACACTAATCTTCAAATTAGATCAAGATGAACTAATTTAATTAGTTTTCAGTAAAACATTAAGAACAAAACCAACTAATTATTTAAGGGGTGGGGGTGGCATAAATTAAAACCATGACAGACATCTAATAGCCTCTTGATACTTGCAATCAAAAACTGTCGAAATACGTCATAGGGATAAAGTTAACAGAGCAGAATATTTTGTCATTGTGAGAAACTATTACGTGTTAAATAAACCGGGAGTGATCTCCCCTAAACTTTCTTGAATATACTAATATAACACTACGGGGGATGGCAACTCGGGACATAGACAATATTTTTAATCCATTTTTAATTGCTTAAACTTTTTATAATAGAATAGAATAGTGCGGGGAAATTATTAGTACTTTACAAATTCACATGCGTTTTTTTTTTTTTGAGATATCGGAAATAGCGTAAAAAACTACTTCCGGTCGACGGAAATTACTTAAAATTTTAAGAGAGGGCAGAGAATTAGAACTTTTACTGACATGTGAAATTTTATTTATCTATCTGAAATAGTACTCAAATTTCAAAATAGAAATTTGAAATTTTCAAAGTAGAAATCGCTCAAAAGTTGAAACGGATCGGATCTACGATTTTGACATAATACTTAATTAAATATGAAATTTCATCAACCTAGCTGTAATTGTACTAAAGTTATCGTGTTTACACACACACACACACACGCACGCACACACACACACACAGACACACATACACACAGACATACGGACAAGATTGCAAAACTATGTTTTTCCGACTCAGGGAGCCCTAAAACGTCGAGATTTGCAACAATCTCGATTTTTTTTGCACGATTACAAGACTTTCTCTATAAAGTAAAAACTGTCTAGCACTGTTGACATTACCGTCGTCTGTATTCCTGCGATGTATCCCATGACGTCATACAAGAGCACCACAGAGTAGTCGTTGTTGAGCACGTACCTTTGTCCTCTCCATTTGGCGGTGGCTGTTGAAGGAAGAGATCAGATCAATACGTTATACAGGCTTGACCAGTTCGATCTCTGCTTAGAAAGTTGTAGCAAAATGATGTTACTGAAAATTGTATTCTATAAATGAGAATGATCCTTCTATACCAGAGGTCGGCAACCTGCAGCTCGCGAGCCGCAAGCGGCTCTTTTGATATCAAGATGCGGCTCTCCAGCTCCTTGAACAAATACTAATAATCTTAATAAAAAAATTAAATATTTGAAATTAAAAAAAATGTTAGCGGCTCTTTAAAACCAGGGACATTTTGAAAATTGTAACTTTTGGCTCTTCCGCTTCAAAAGGTTGCCGACCCCTGTTCTATACTGTTCTATTAAAACGACATATATATTATAAAATCTATTGTTCAATAGCTAACATGATGTTGTTAACAGCGAATAATGACAAGGTAAGTTAACGCAGGTATGGTCAGGGGTTTAGGATTCAGTCTGGCATCACCAGAGTATCTTCCAGACATTTTTTCTGAGGACACTTGAGACTTACAGGGTGGACTAAAACTTCAAAGGGGGGGAGGGGCATGGGGACTAGGGACGGAGAGGAAACGGGTATATATTTTCTACATAACTAATTAAAAAATATTTTTCTCCAGGGGGTAGAGTGGGGAGGTGAAGCGTCGGCCGCGGGAAGATGCCTGAAACTGAAAGAAACCCTGTATTGTTCCGAGCTGTCTTATTCTTTTCAGTTATGTTTTATTGGTACACATACAGATGTACTGTTCTGTAATGCTCCATTTATACATACCTATTCTAGTTCTAGCGTTGAGATGTCAATTTTGTACACATATTGTTATTCCAAATTGTAAAAAAAAATGACTAACAAAAAAAAAAAAAAGATTTTTTTTTCCTTACGAATCAATGACTTTAATCTTAAAGTACTACACGTGTTGCATGTATGTTTTAAAGCCTATTTCCAGATTTTTCTCAGCAAAGTTAAGTGAGTCAAGTCCATTTTTAAGGGTTGCTCCAGACTTATGGCCCCTCATGCTTGTGCCAGTTTAGCGACACTGGTATGTTGTGGTAGAGAGTAGAACCTTATCTTGCTTGACATCCATCCACCAGCACTAGCAACTACACAATCGTGTTTGTAACGTGATTGCGACGAGGCGACCCACGGAATTCTCATTAGGGCTCAATATCAGATTACTAATTATAATTCTAGCGCCATTAGTAAATTCAGCATACTAATTATCAGTTGCCTTCCCTGTTTGGGCACGTGAATAGATTGTAATTAATTAATTCGGCACTGTGTTTTTCCAAACTAAAGAGGACACGTTTAGAGAGAGTATAGATAATTACAAGAGAGCCTCAGGCAATACAAATAAACGGGAGGTCGATAACCAAATACAAAACAAAACCGCCATTCAGTTGCAACTAAAAACAAAACAAAAAATCGATCCTCTCTTTGTGGAGAGAAAAAACAACAAAAGATTCGTAGTGTTACAGTAAAACGTATACGTGGACAAAGATAGTTTACGACATCACGACTTGTGGTCTGAACAATTTACCACAATTTACGACATCACGACATTGTAATGCCTGACAACCTAAGACAAGACATTGACACTGCCCACACCAGGCAGCCATAGTCTGATACTCAACAGATTTACAGTGCTAGTGTTCAAAGAACAGACCGTGTTAAAAGACAAGACCGAAATAGAGAAAATAATTTAATGTGGTTTTAGAAAAAAATTAACGAATAGTTTCCTGCCATCTTTAGAATTGTCGTCGTCTTGTCTCATTAATGCTAGGATTCATGTAGTGGTTTTCATGTTGACCGCAGGTGGGTTTTTGTGCGACCTACAGTCTTAGATGAAAATGACTTGTTGATAAAAATTTATGTGTGGGTAAATTTGTAAACTGAAGCAGTATGTGTCCATATCGTAAGACACACATTTTCTATTTCTAGAATTGTTTTGTTTTATGAACAGCGAGCTAAGGTTGATAAGCTCATAGCGTGTCAAGCAATGGCTAGCGAAATAGCGGAATAACAAGATATTCATTACAGTAAGAGTTTAGCTTGACGAAAGCCTTCTCAAAACATTTTACCCATAATTTATTCTACTTACGGTCCTCTCAGTCAAACAACAGGTAACTTACTGTCACATTATTCAGTTAACGGTAATGTAATTGCGCGCTAATCAAACATAGGTCAATTACTGTCAAATTAATTAAATATCTGGTGAGTAACTGCCACACCAGTTGATTTATCATCACATTCTTCAAATATCTGGCAACTTACTGTCACATCATTCAAACAATACGTAACTTACTGTCACATCATTCAAACATCAGGTAACTTACTGTCACATCATTAAAACATCAGGTAACTTACTGTCACATGATTCAAACATCAGGTAACTTACTGTCACATCATTCAAACATTACGTAACTTACTGTCACGTCATTCAAACATCAGGTAACCTACTGTCACATTTTTCAAACATCAGGTAACTTACTGTCACATCATTAAAACATCAGGTAACTTACTGTTACATCATTAAAACATCAGGTAACTTACTGTCACGTCATTCAAACATCAGGTAACTTACTGTCACGTCATTCAAACATCAGGTAACTTACTGTTACAACATTCAAACATCAGGTAACTTATTGTTACATCATTAAAACATCATGTAACTTACTGTTACAACATTCAAACATCAGGTAACTTACTGTCACATCAATCAAACATTACGTAACTTACTGTTACATCATTCAAACATCAGTAACTTATTGTTACATCAATCAAACATTACGTAACTTACTGTTACAATCACTGATCTTGTGGAATCCTTGCCTCTCTGCAGCAGCAGCTGTTCTTGGCATCCCGGCGAAATATTGTGAATTGAATGGGTTCATTCCCCACGTCACTGAAGAAAAAAAAATATTTCTTCAAATATTGTGAATTGAATGGGTTCATTCCCCACGTTACTGAAGAAAAAAATAATATTTCTTCAAATATTGTGAATTGAATGGGTTCATTCCCCACGTTACTGAAGAAAAAAATAATATTTCTTCAAATATTGTGAATTGAATGGGTTCATTCCCCACGTTACTGAAGAAAAAAATAATATTTCTTCAAATATTGTGAATTGAATGGGTTCATTCCCCACGTCACTGAAGAAAAAAATAATATTTCTTCAAATATTGTGAATTGAGTGGGTTCATTCCCCACGTCACTATAGAAAAAAATAATATTTCTTCAAATATTGTGAATTGAATGGGTTCATTCCCCACGTCACTGAAGAAAAAAATAATATTTCTTCAAATATTGTGAATTGAATGGGTTCATTCCCCACGTCACTATAGAAAAAAATAATATTTCTTCAAATATTGTGAATTGAATGGGTTCATTCCCCCACGTCACTATAGAAAAAAATAATATTTCTTCAAATATTGTGAATTGAATGGGTTCATTCCCCACGTCACTATAGAAAAAAATAATATTTCTTCAAATATTGTGAATTGAATGGGTTCATTACCCACGTCACTATAGAAAAAAATAATATTTCTTCAAATATTGTGAATTGAATGGGTTCATTCCCCACGTCACTGAAGAAAAAAATAATATTTCTTCAAATATTGTGAATTGAATGGGTTCATTCCCCACGTCACTATAGAAAAAAATATTTCTTCAAATATTGTGAATTGAATGGGTTCATTCCCCCACGTCACTATAGAAAAAAATAATATTTCTTCAAATATTGTGAATTGAATGGGTTCATTCCCCACGTCACTATAGAAAAAAATAATATTTCTTCAAATATTGTGAATTGAATGGGTTCATTCCCCCACGTCACTATAGAAAAAAATAATATTTCTTCAAATATTGTGAATTGAATGGGTTCATTCCCCCACGTCACTATAGAAAAAAATAATATTTCTTCAAATATTGTGAATTGAATTGGTTCATTCCCCCACGTCACTATAGAAAAAAATATTTCTTCAAATATTGTGAATTGAATGGGTTCATTCCCCACGTCACTATAGAAAAAAATAATATTTCTTCAAATATTGTGAATTGAATGGGTTCATTCCCCACGTCACTATAGAAAAAAATAATATTTCTTCAAATATTGTGAATTGAATGGGTTCATTCCCCACGTCACTGAAGAAAAAAACATTTCTTCAAATATTGTGAATTGAATGGGTTCAATCCCCACGTCACTAAAGAAAAAATAATATTTCTTCAAATATTGTGAATTGAATGGGTTCAGCCCCCACGTCACTGAAGAAAACAATTCTTCACTAAACTGTTTTGTTAATCTGATGATTAGCATTGATTTTTATCTATATCAAAATGTTTAATTGTTTTCTTAATCTTAAATAATATTGTGAAAAATTTGCAGCTGATATTAACTCTATGCTCAAATGTCACAAATTTAAAGGCTGATTTTTTGTTTGCTTATTTTTCAACATAGCTATAGATGTAACGAGTAAACACATCTTACCTTTTAAATTGTCCCATTTCTTTTCTGTGAAAAAGATGAGTTAAATTATGTTAAAATTTTAAACCAATGACTAACTGTATTAGAAGCAAATGGTTTAACATTTAAAGAAAATGTTTGGCCAGGCCTAAAGAATTCGTTAATAAAATTTTTGGCAGTCATACAAAATTGAATTACTGGAAGTGTGTCAAACATTTAAACTTCACCCAATTCAACTCTTACTTTTACTTTTACTAATTCCTTAATCCTCACTTCAGCTACCATTTTCATTAAGTCTCTTACATCAAGAATATAATGTCGCTATTATTTATATTAAAACTGGTTCTTGTCAAGTTCTGTGTTTGCATCTCATAGAAAACAAAACTCATTGCAATGCAAATGAATCCATTTGAACTTGGTTTTTTTTGTGACATATTAATACGCAGTCTGGTGAATTCATCAATATGTGAGACACCAGATTTACGCTGCTGTTGGCGATAATTATCTGGCAATTTTAGACTTATCGAATTTCCTGACAAATTATGTAAAATTCAATCCACAAGAGCAATAAAAAAATACATTACAAATCATCCGCAGCGTAGCATTAACACAAAGTTTTTAAAAAAATATGTTTACAATCCACAGTTCCGTAGTGTGTTTGCCAGACTTACTTTTTATTTCACTGGACGAAACGGCAACAAAAAACGCAAAACTGATGACTAGAATGTTCATGTTTCTACTGGTTCGCCTCCCTTGATGAAATGGCCTGTGTTAGCTCCCTTTACGTTCTAAGTCTATGCATACAAATCTACTGTCAGCCTCGCTGAGTAAATTATTCTTTGTGGCAATGTTCCCTTCGACCCCGCTAATCGACCTACATGCGCACAGCAGTGTAAAATATGTGCGTAGTTGTGTAACAAACGATGGAGCTTTGGAGAAATGTAATTAAACTATCAGGTATATAGGCATGTGGATGGAAATTAATTATACAAAGCCCTAATGAGCCTAAAAAAGGTGAAAAGTTAAAGTTACATAACACTGTCAAATGAAATTGATTTGAAATGAAAAATAATTTAGGAATACTTTCTCCACACGTTTTTATCGATGATAAACAGAGCTTTTCGAATGCGGTGATGAGCGGAAATTACCAGAACTTGCTTCACAACGGTAGGCTACGTATATTGGCGTGCACTCAATATAAACTTTATTATCGAACACTCGTTTAGCGATGTCGTTGCTTGAAATTCCAACCTTTCTTACCCTTTAAGAATTATAAAATCAGAACAAAATCTATAAACAATAGATATCTACACAAGCTATGCATCGCTTCCTACACCAGATGTTCAACATCGGTTAAACGAGGGGTTAATATTTAACTTAATCAGTATTGCAAACGATATAATTAACTAAAAAGATTTGAATTTGTTAATGTAATATGTGCTATGTGAAGATATATTGCAAAATTAGGTACGACTTACGCTTTAATTCAGTGGTCGAGACAGCAACAAATAAAACCAAGATGATGACAATAGTTTTCATATTTCTTCACACTCGCCTCCCTTTGTTAAACTGACTCGTTGGATACAGTTAACCAACTTTCTGACTTGGTCAATGTTCACAGGTCCACTGCTTGTTATTTTAACATTTGCCTGGCTATTAACAGTTGTGTTATTTGTTGATGTAAAGAAAGATTACACAAACAAATCTCTGTTGTGTTTAGCTAGCACGTGAGGATGACTGTTGTTGTTTTTATCTCAGCGCATTAAACAAAAGAAAACAAAACTCTGCAGTGGACTAGGACAGGGGTCGGCAACCTGCGGTTCGCGAGCCGCATGCGGCTCTTTTGATGTCAAGATGCGGCTCTTCAGTTCCATGCACAAATATTAATAATTATTTTATTTTATTTTTAAAGCTCATCAAAATATTAGTCTTGGATTTGGGTTTGGGTTTGTTTTCGTTTGCTTTTTACTTTCTCGTATATACGAAGTATAGAGAAAGTATTGTAATCGTGCACAAAAATCACTTGAAATTTTAACAATTTTCACCGTATTACACCTCAGTCCTTCATCACATCCGAAGTACAGAGGACTTATTTTAATCGGGCAAAAATTATCAATCCAGATTTATCAAAATTAAGAGGTTTTATGCGTAATCCATTCTGAAAAACTGGGCTTTGCAATTCTGTCCGTATGTCTGTGTGTCTGTGTGTGTGTGTGTCCGTGTGTAAACACGATAACTTGAGTACCGTTACAGCTAGGTTGATGAAATTTCATATATAAGTATTTTATCGAAATCGTAGATCCGTATCAACTTTTGAGCGATTTCCGATAACCGGAAGTGGTACTTTTTCTACTTTGAATTTTTCAAAAGCCTATAACTTGAGTACTATTTCAGATAGATAAATGAAATTTCACACGTAAGTAAAAGATCTAATTCTCTACCTTCTCTCAAATTTTGAGTAATTTCCGTTGAACGGAAGTAGTAATTTACGCTACTTCCGATTTCTCAAAAACCTAATGAAATTTTTTAAAGTACTAATAATATTGCGCACTATTATGCACTTTTTTATTTGGCGTTCAATTGGTGTGCAATTATTTTGTCTACGAGATTTTATTCTATTTTTAAAACTTTAAGTCTTTAAAATGAATTAAAAATCATGTCTATAGCCCGAGTTCCCATCCCCTGTTGTTTTTTATAAGAATATTCGAGAAAGTTTAGGGGAGATCACTCCCGGTTTATTTTCTTTGCGTTTGTGTTTTTGCTTTTTTCTTTGCGTTTGTTTTTTCTTTGTGTTTGTGGTTGTGCTTGTGTTTTTTTTGGTGTGTTTTGTTTTTGTTTGGTTGTGGTTGGGTTTGTGTTTGTGTTTGCGTTTGGATTTGTTTTCGTTTGCTTTTTTGTTTGCGTAAGTGTTTGTGTTTTCTTTGTGATTGTGGTTGGGTTTGTCTTTGCGTTTGTTTTTGTGTTTTAATTTTCGTTTGTGTTTGTTTTGTGTTAGTGTTATGTTTGCGTTTTTTGTATGTTTTGGTTGGTTGCGGTTAGGGTGGGCAATGCCGGGTAAATGCTGATTACTAAACACACAAGTTATGGTCCTTGACAGATACGTTTTTCAGAGATGCCAGTGCAGGGCCTGGCCGGGACGGCTAGTATATATATATATATATATATATATATATATATATATATATATATATATATATATATATATATATATATATATATATATATATATATATATACCACATTCTTATTAGAGATCATAATATTGAAATAAAAATATGAGTGGCTCTTTAAAAACTGGAATATTTTGCAAATTGTAACCTTTGGCTCTTCCGACTCAAAAGGTTGCCGACCGCTGCTTTAGACGAATATTGTGCATTGCACTTTATGTTAAGTAAAAAAGGAACCTTTAATATCTTCGATCCCGTTTTTATTTTAGATATATTTAGTTTCTGCTTATATATAAACAACAGGTACAGGATGCATGTGGGGAGAGGGGAGAGGGAGGGTGGTAGTTAATGGGACACTGTTTCAAAACCTAATACATTCGTTTTTTTCCAGACCTTTTAACACCACGCCTATCAAAGTACGTGTTCGCCATAATTTATTTTTCCGTTTTTCAATTAAGCAGTAGTAGATGATTGTTTTCCAAGAAAAAAAAGTTACATAATATTTGTCACGCTGGTTTTACCTCAGAGCTCAACCGTGCCAAGAGTTGAAACGGACATTAAAAAGTCCTGTCAGGCTGATGTATATAAAAGGCTACATGGGCAACATCTGGAGACCAAAATTTTAATGAAAGTTTACCTTTAACCAAAACGTGAATCACAATAAACCAAGGTAAATATATTTGACCTTTTTTTTCAAACTTATATACATTGACATTATCTGATCGCTGTTTTCCTGAACTATAAACACATCTTTGTGTCAGGTCATTAACTGCTACAGACAGATTTGATGAGAGAGACACGATCACTCTCGTTAACATGGACGAAAATAGTTTTTTTTTTTAATTTTGGGATGCTTCGTCTTTTTAGTAGCCTTTGGGCTTAAGCATACACTTAAAAAAGAAATTAACATTTAAAACTAAAAAAAAAATTAAAATTAAAACTAAACATATTAAAATAAAAACTAAAAAAAAATTAAAACTGCCTATTTTTAGAATTGATGTAATAATAGTAAATATAGTAATGAATGTTTACATTTAAACCTCCGATATTGATTGATCACGCATCCCTTTGAAATACAAACATAGAATAGCTTTTAATTAGCACTATTAGTTTTTGCAAATTTCGTTACATTTACTGATTCGTGGTGCCTAATAGATTAAAATTTTTAAGTAACGCGCTTTTCAGTAAATACAATAACAGTTGTGTTAGAAATTGCTAGCATTTTCGATAACTGCTACCAGAGTTTCTTTCAGGTATTCCTTAGGGTGAATGGTCTAAAAGCGACCCTGAAATACGACCAATGGCTACACCCAATTTTTATTAGTTAGCAACACGAGCTGTGACGTAACCTCCTCCCCTCACAATTACCTTACACGCCAGTCCAACTAAACAATAGAAAAACCACAAATCATACCTGCACATTCTTTCCTTGTTTTAAACACTCTCTTAGGCCACTTTGGCAAGCTACCTTTACCTATCGGACGATGCTCTGGCCATACATGGTCTAGTCCTATTCGATTAATAAGTCCCAATATTTGCTCCACGTGGGTCTATGACAAATGTCCGAATGGACACTTGTCCAAATGGGAAAATTTCCCGAAATGTACACTTGCCCGAATGCGACAAAAATTCTATTTTATCTTAAGTTGATTGTTCTGTTCTTTATGTTTCTTAATATTTTTATATTTGAAATGCCATTAGCGCTTCTCGGGAATGACATTACTAACAATAATTCCATTATTTATTTTTCATTTAAAAAATCGAACAGATTTCTAGTCCTCCTTAGTGCCTACCTGCAATTTTCCCCGCTACTATATTTCCCTATGACCTATTATAGCTGAGACCTTTAGTGCTAAGTTTTGAACATGGAATCTTTTCAGGACAATGGCAGCTATACTAAAGTTAACATTTGTTGCCATGCTGGTGCTGATGGTCACTCTACCACAACATTTAGAGGCCTATGTCGTTGGTGACTGTTATAAAACCTGGAGCCGTTGTTCTGAGTAAGATAGAAAATATTTATGCGTATAACTTTTAAAAGATAATTATTAGTTATATTAGTTAAAATGTTTTAACTTTGCTGTTCCAATTTGTATAATCAATATATTTCGATATTTCATCGCTGTCGTTCTTTTTGTAGAATTAACATTTAAAAATTCTTTTGTACACAATTAGACATGCAATCATATGAATGTGCGCATGTATCACTATCATTCCGTCCCATAGTTCGCCATGCACAGAGAAAGCCTAATCTTTTGTGTAGCCAACAGACAGAAAAGACGCAACGTCTAGAATGACGTTGAGGGCTATGTGGAACAGGGACAGGGTAGAATCCTTGACTTGCATCACCTTTGACTGTACTTCTTTAGCATTACATTAACTCAATTTCTGGAACTCAATAGCAATAGCTTTTGGTCTTGACTGTTGTCGAAAAAACAAACTTTAAAATTGTTCTGCCTTAATTATATATAGAGATACTAATATATATATATATATATATATATATATATATATATATATATATATATATATATAGAGAGAGAGAGAGAGAGAGAGAGAGAGAGAGAGAGAGAGGCAACAGGAGCATATTTTTAAAGGACAATATCGAACTTAGATCAGTGACACAATATACGCGGGTCATTGATGGCTGATTCCTAGATGAATCAAATAAGGTTTCTATCTGATTGACGGGCGGCTCTGTGTACCTGACCAATTGTCTTTCCCGAATGCAGCTTTGAACAAGTTTCGCTAGGCCACAAGCGTAGGACATAAATAGAACGGGCTACTAGCTTAGTTACTTCAAGTGGTGAACAATCTTTCCAGTGTTACCTTCCAGATCTCGTTCTTAACTCACACGTTGCCTGAAATTAAACATCCTAATGCTGCTAAGTGCGCAGTGTGTGTGGGTAAGTGGGGGGGGGGCTGAGAGCACATCTAACAACTCCTATCAACAAAACTAAAGCAATAAAAATTAAATAGAAATATATAATATAGTTGCCTACTTCCTCTCATCGAGAAGTTTCACTAGTATCAAAAAGTTTCAAATCGCCTAAAACGGACTTTGGAAGTGCGGGCAATGACTACAACCAGTTTATAATCCATAATACCTATTTTGACAAATATCAAACGTCCTAGTTGAACAGTGTATTTTTAGTTAGTGGTAAATAATTATTATCCTACATAATTAATGCTACTTCATATTTTTTCTCATCTCACAGGGGGAGTAAAATTTTTACAGGCCGTGTCTGGCTTACCTGCGATGACAGGTGCATGTATTTGGGGAAGAGAGGTGGCGAATGCATCTTAACGCCTTCAACTTGCCCCATCGCCAGACAGGCGTACCAATGCAATTGTTACTAGGCAAAGCAAAGGAGATGAGGCCTTCGTCTTGAGATAAAAAAATACAACTTGTTCTTTTCAATTTCACCCGAACGTTTGTCTTTATTTTTTGTTGTTACTGTTTCATTGATTATA